GAAACCTAATTAAACAGTACTGTGAGCAAATGTTGACCTAAAAGGAAGAAGCTGAGGCAAAATTAATACAGAGAATTTATCTGGGCCAAGGTTGAGGACTGTAACCCTGGCCATACTTCAGGTTGTTCTGGAGAGTGCTCTGGGGAACAAAGGAGAGGCTCAACTTTTTTTTTTTTTTTTTTTTGAGACGGAGTTTCGCTCTTGTTACCCAGGCTGGAGTGCAATGGCGCGATCTCGGCTCACCGCAACCTCCGCCTCCTGGGTTCAGGCAATTCCCCTGCCTCAGCCTCCTGAGGCTCAACTTTTTAAAGGAAAAGACACAAATCAGGGGAGGGTAACAATTACAAAAGTTGCTCATCAGGCATTCTTATTGGACTTTTTAACTTTTTTCCTTGAGACACGGTCTTACGCTGTCACCCAAGCTGGAGTGCAGTGGTGCAATCACGGCTCACTGCAGCCTCAGCTTCCCAGGCCCAGGTGATTTTCCCACCTTAGCCTTTCAAATAGCTGGCACTACAGGCATGTGTGGCTAATTTTTTGTGGAGACAGCGTTTGCTGGTAGAGACTCCCAAAGTGCTGGGATTACAGGCATGAGCCACAGCACCCCACCCTGATACTTTTTTTTTAAGCTAGTCAATGGGCCTGGTAATTTAAAGGGGCTCATCTTCCTTAGATATTCTGCCAGGTGCAGCGGCTCATGCTTGCAATGCCTCCCTGTTTCTCAAGCATGTTTCAAACTCCTGGGCTCAAGCGATTTGCCTGCCTCGGCCTCCCAAAGTGTTGGGATTGTAAGTGTGAGCCACCACACTCAGCAGGTATTCTCACTGGTTTATAGAAATAACATTGTTAGTGACTGGCTATGCACGTTGAACTATAGGATATGTGGCATATCACAGCTTGACATTAGTCTAGTGCATACATAGCAAGTGACTTCAAGAAGTTATTCTTTAGCTCAAGGGGAATGAGATATTACTGCTGTAACATTTTAAATGCCTCTTTGGGCCTGATACTTTTTCTTTTTTTACAGAAATGTGGTCTCACTATATTGCCCAGGCTGGTTTCAAACTTCCGGGCTCAAGCAATCAAACCACCTCAGCCTCCCAAAGTGCTGAGAGTATAGGTGTGAACCACAGCACAGGCCTTTTTATTTATTTATTTATTTATTTGTTTGTTTGTTTGTTTATTTATTTATTTGAGACAGGGTCTTGCCCTGTCATCCGGGCTGAAGTGCAGCAGCATAATCATGGCTTAGTGCAGCCTTGACCTCCCTAGCTCAAGCAGTCTTTACAGTTTATAATCACTAGGTGCAAGGGAGGCTGAGAAATAGGTTTCTTAAATTGGACTCATTGCTATGTGAATAAAATCAGTGTTCACAGGTAAGGAAGAAGGGAGAAATAGATATTGCAAGGTACCTAGCATTGTCTGCCACAATCCTCAACAGTGCCCAGCACCGAGAACCCACTTGATGAATAGTTATTGAATCAATGAATAGATGTATGAGTACATGACCTTGTGGTCTTTGGCACACGGTCTGGGAATCTTCTTAGTCAACCAATAAAACATCTTTGCTAAGATATTAGAGAAAACATCAGTTGTCTATCAGTTATGAATGTATGTATAATGGTGCATGTGTGTATGTATATGCGTGTGTTATGGGGGCTATAGAGCTATAGGTATCTCAAGTTGTATTTGTCCTTTTTCCTAAAAAGTCACCCACTCTCTAGTATATGTGGGAAGAAGGAAAAGCTGTTTCACCTCTGCTCCTGGCTGCTGTCCCTAGTTTCACATGCCACTGGATACAGTCTTCTCCATAAAATGCTGCACCCTGGCTTGGCACAGCACCAGGCGAGGGGTGAACTGGAGAGGGCCACCCTTTCCTTCCTGACTTTCCCTTTCTGCTGTATACACAACCATCACACAGGGTGAAAAAGTGTACTGAATTTGACAAAGGGTTGAGATGCCTCCATTCATTCATTCAACAAATTCTTTTTGAGCACCTACTGTGTGCCAGGCTAAGGTGCTAAGGATACAAAAGTAAGGAGGCTAATATGTCCCTTAGGAGTCTGAGGCAGGAGCATCACTTCAGCCCAGGAATTCGAGGCTGCAGTCAGCTATGATTGCACCACTGCACTTCAGCCTGAGGCCCTCATCTCAAAACAAGAGAAAAACAAGAGAGACTGACATGTCCTTCATCAAGCTTAGAGTATAGCAGGTGAAAGGATCATTAATCAGTATCCAAATTCATCATTTCAAGTTGTGAGAATGTGCTATGAAAGGACAGGGTGTTTTGAGAGAGGCTAACAGAGGAGACAATTTAGATGGAGGTAACAGGGGGCCCCAAGGAAGAAATATTTAGGCCCAGACCTGGGGGACTCAGTACAAGGGAGTTGAGAAAAGAGGAGGGGAAACGCATTCTCCATAGGGGGAAGATCTTATGCAAAGGCCCTAAGGGAGAAATAATTTATCATATTTAAGGAACTAAGGATGGGACTGTGGGAGAGAAAGCTGACAATCTGCTTTCAGACACCTCTTGTGCACACACATGCAAGCACACACAGACACACAATTTTATACAAACAAGATCACCCTATACACATCGTTTCTAATCTGCTTTGTTTTCATTTAATCTAAGTGATCAATAATTGGCAAAAATTAATGTTTTGTTAACCCAGATTTTGCAAGAGAGAGAAACATATTCTGGTGGCTGACAGAAATGCCATTGGTGAAATTTGTCAATCACAAAAGAAAGGGAAGAGAAGAGGGCCTGGAATGGGGGCACAAAAAGCACCAACACGGAGGGGTAAGCAGATGAAACCCTGCAAGGGAATCTGGGGAGGACTAACCAAAAAAGTAGCAGGGAAAATAAGGAAAATCTGTGGTTCCTGGAAAGCCAAGAAATAAGATTATAAAAGGGAGGGAGAGCTCCTCAGCCTCCGATGCTGTGGAGGTCAAGAAAGGATGAAAAACGGTCCTTGAGGTTAGCAGCACAGAGGCTGTGGGTGGTTTGACTAGAGCAGGCCCGGGGAATTATGGGACACAGAAGTCTCCTTTCAGTGGCTTGAGGAGTGGGAAGTGAAAAGCTAGAGACTAAGAGTGTAGACAACTTTTTAAAGCCACTTGGCTCTGAAGGGAAGAAAAGACAGTAGAAGAGGATTTGGGTCTCGGAGGATTTTTCTTATGACAAGGAATTTACAAGAGAGAAAACAATTGAAGACAGACAACAATTGTTCCCAGGTGGAAGAACCACATTTTATTCTTGATTCAGGGTCAACAAGAGAGACTTGGACTGCCTCAACCTTGAGGTCTAGAATGGTGGGGTGGGGATGGGGACAGAGAAAGACTACTGGTGGTTAAAAGCAAGTACGCAGCACTGGGAAGCAAACCAAAAGGAGGCACAGCCCACTCAGTGTGACGCTTCGGAGAACTGCAGGCCTGAAACCCCACCCACCCTCTTAGATGTGTCTCCGGGCCATAGAAATGACGAGGGTTGTCTTGGGTGTGGTCTCAACCTGTTCAACAACAGGTGTGCTGCTTCCATTCCAGAAACCAGTCCTCTGTCTTCTAGAACTGCGGTTGTCAAATTCAGCAGGCATCAGAATCCCGGGAAGAGTTTGTTGAAACATTACTAGGCAAGGCCGGGCATAGTGGCTCACGGCTGTAATCCCAGCACTTTGGGAGGCCGAGGTGAGTGGATCACCTGAGATCAGGAGTTCGAAACCACCCTGACCAACAAAGTGAAACCCCATTTCTAAAAATAAAATAAAAACATTACTAGGCAGAGCAAGGTAACCTAAGAGCTTTTGGAGGCCTAGGTAAGAGGGATCACTTGAGGCCAGCAGAGTTCAAGAGCAGCCCAGGCAACATAGGGAGGCCTCTTCTCTATAAAAATACTGCTACTGCCGGGCGCGGTGGCTCAAGCCTGTAATCCCAGCACTTTGGGAGGCCGAGGCGGGTGGATCACGAGGTCAAGAGATCAAGACCATCCTGGTCAACATGGTGAAACCCCGTCTCTACTAAAAATACAAAAAATTAGCTGGGCATGGTGGCTCGTGCCTGTAATCCCAGCTACTCAGGAGGCTGAGGCAGGAGAATTGCCTGAACCCAGGAGGCGGAGGTTGCGGTGATCCGAGATCGCGCCATTGCACTCCAGCCTGGGCAACAAGAGCGAAACTCCGTCTCAAAAAAAAAAACAAAAAAACAAAAAACGACTACTATCACTACTACTACTACTACTAATAATAAAAATAGCCAGGCACGGTTGCTCACACTTGTAATCCCAGCGCTTTGGGAAGCTGAAGCTGGAGGATGAATCACTTGAGCCCAGGAGTTGGTTTTGGTGAGCTATGATCACACTCCTCTCTCCAGCCTGCGCGACAGATAGATCCTGTCTCTAGAAAAAAACAAAACAAAAAGATTTCTAGTCCCCACCTATAGAGATTCTGCTAAGTCTAAAGTGGGGCCCAGGATTTCTAACATGTTCTAACGTGCATTTCTACCGTGTTCTCCTGCTGTTTTTGGCCTCTAGTCCGCACTTGGAGAACCGTTGTCCTAGAGAAAACGGAATTTCCCAGAAAGGTTCTGGAAGAATAGGTAATGGGCTTTGGAACTCTGCTCTGGAAACTAGTCAACGCCTATGTTAATCCAGAAAAGGGCAGCACTGTACCAGTACGTCCTCTGTGCGGGTTGGTCCAAGATGACCGAGCGGCGGGCGACAAGCACAGCCTACGAGCAGGGGTTAGAAACACGTCTGCATCAGACCCACAGGGAAGAGAAAGGCGAGAACCTCTGAGAGGGGATGCTCCGGGGAGTCCTTAGGGGCAGTCACTGAGCTGGGCCTGGAGACTGAGTAGGGGCCTACGTGGGGAATGCGTCAGGTTTCGGGGCGGGGAACAGCATTCGAAACCGCAGGACCAGCAGCAGCTAAAAACCCAGACAGCAGTGAAAGCAAAGGACGGAAACAGCCTGCGTTCAGGCCAGGGCGCCTGCGCAAACAGCAAAGCTTTTCCCCGCCCCCGCGCCTCTCTCGGCCGGGCTGACGCAGCAGGCCGCAAACCTCCGAGCGCAGGCCACCGCGCTTGTCCGCAGCGGCGCCACCCGCAGCCGATGGGGTGCGCTCTTCCAAGCGGCCCAGCTCCCGGCCAGCCTGCGCCTGCGCAGATCTTTAATGGTTCTGTTGGGGAGACCCTTGGGCACTCCGGACTAAGATGGCGGCGGCTGGCAGGCGGGGCTGGGGAGCTGCGGCTGTTGCCGCGGGGCTGCACAGGCGGTAGGTGACGAGCCTGGAGCTGCGAATGGGGTGCCGCTGGGCTTAGCCAGCGGAGCGGTCGCCGCCTTGCAGACCCTCTCTTGAGGCGGGTGGGTAGTGCCTCTGATGGAGCCGGCGGGTCCGCTGCAGTTCGGGGTGAGCCCTGAGGTGTGTGGCTGTAGGTGCAGGAGCTTGGCGCTTCTGTGGCCTAATCCGGGCGGACTCTGTGGAGCTTTGTGTTAGGCCCAGAGACCCGGTGCTTGAGTCTCTGTAGAGACTGGCTGTAGAGCCAGAACGGTTGAGCTGTTTTTAAATCATGTGCCTCTCTGCCCCCAGGCCCTTTGCTAGGTGCATGTCCTCTTTTAAACACAGAATCAAACTGTCACGCAGAAGGGAAGAAAATACCTTGTCTCGTTTCTTCATTTTCCCAATAAGGCCGTGAAAGAGGAGGTGACATGTCCACGGTCAGACAGTTTCTAAGTGATGGAACTCCGAAGAGATTCCAGACCCCTAGATTCCCCGCACCCACCACCGTTAAGCCCACTCCATTCCCTTGTTTTTCTTCCTTCCCTGAGCCGTACCTTTGAGTTTCACCTTTCAAAGACTTCTCTGAACACTGCTAAGAGAACATTTATGTAGGTGTACCTTGATTTTACTTCTGGAGAAAAAGGCCTACAGAGAATTTGCCCTCGAGTATCAGACATTTTAGTGTCAATGATGTCTTGAGGTTTAAACGTATATCCTAAAAAGATTTAAGTTAGTAGAAGGATTTTTTTGTTAGTTACCTACGGTGTCGTCCTTGAATAATGTAATCAATCCACTCTTACTTAAAAACAAAACTTTAAACCCATATGTCGGAATGTACTTCTTCTTTATTCATTTTGCTGCCTTTTCCCTGGGCTGAAGGGACAAGAATATTATTCTTCCAGTGTATTTCCAAATTCCAGTGCATCTGCAGATTTAGGTAGTGAGCTATAGAAAAAAGTATTTTTACCCCAAACCTTGGACTTCACTCATTTAATTAGTAATTATTGGGCACCAATTACATAATAATGGTAGCAGCTGCCATTTATTGAGCACTTACTGCATGGCCTGGCACTGGTTTAAGCATTTTACATGGATTTTTGGATTCTTTATGAGGTAGCTGCGAAATTAATTTTATTGTGAGATGAAGAACTGAGGCCATTGTGGTAGCAGCTAGAAATGAAGACAGTTTCTCCCCTTGAGTATGCAGTCTAGCAAGAAAGATATATTAACAAATAATGACGAAGTTGTAAGTGCTGTAATAGATTCATGTAATTTAAAGTGGTGACAGCTCTTACCAGGATCAATACTATTTGGAGCTAGTGTGGGGAATGGCAGTCAGGGCTTCATAGATTATTTGATTATTTGATTCTCATTCAGTGCTGACTCCATTGTTCTCTTGAATCCCCAGTGCCAATCCTTTTGTCTCTCCAGTAACATCTAAGAAACTCTATGGGTTACAGTCCCACAGTATCCCAGTAAAGTAGTCTTGCTTATCAATGGCATATAAGGATTACTGAAGGTAGGAAACAGTTAATCTGTATTCTGTTAATACCTAATTTGTGCCCACTCATTCTTTTCCACAAGCAGAATTCTAGTTTTGTGAGAGAAAAAAATGTGACAGCCACTGTCTGTTGCTTCTTGCCTATTTTAAGCAGAAAATAATTAGATAAATCTTTTTTTTTAAAGTGATCTTGTGTATGATCACAATTTTTGCCTTTGCAAAAAATTTTAACGGAAAATTGTGACAGTGAAAGACTGTTCTAACCAACCACCATTTTGTCTTTAACCTTTAGACTACCCATTCCTGGGCTTGGTCAAGCCAACTTTGGGAGACATTTATAGTTCAAATGATAATAGCCCTTCCCCAAAATTAAACCACCTTTATAAAGCTAATGAAAGACAACCAGGTTTGGAGGTTGAGAGGAGCCTGAATTCTACTAAGGTATAGTTGTAAATGAATGCCTGCCAATATTCTGGAGGTCATAAGAGTTGCAACGTCCCCAATTGCTCCTGCAGACAACATCACTCTTGTAGAACCTAAGATTAGCCTTTTCAGGTTTTTGCGTTTCTGACTGGTCCACCCACAAAGAGACTAAGCACTCAGGAGGACAGTTTTCCACACCCCTGTGATTGCATCCTCAACCAATCAGCAGCACCCATTCCCTGGCCTGTCAATCTCTCCTTGAAAACCTTATTTGAGTACTAAAACTCCAGTCTCCCTTTCAGCTGGCTCCGTGTGAATTAAACTCTTCATTGCAGTTCCCTTGTCTTGATGAATTAGCAGTATCTGGACAGTGAACAAAATGAACCTGTGCTTAAATGACTCCTGTGCTTAAAATTTTTCCTTGGCTCCTAGGAAGTGGCAATTGTAATGGATAGTGATGATATTTTCAAGTAAACTGGATTTTGAAGTAAATTGCATTAGGATTCTAAGAATTTTCACTATTAAAGTCTCCTTTTACTTCTTTTTCTAGTAATATTTGCTTTTCATCCTTTGTTTTCAGTTTGTCAAAGCCATCAAAAATAGCCAATTAAGTTTTCTCTGTAAGAGTGAAGTAAAGTTACTACACTGGGTTAATATGCTTTCATCCAAAAAGCATATAAAAAGCAGGGCATGGTGGCTCACGCCTAGAATCCCAGCACTTTGGGAGGCCAAAGTGGGAGGATTGCTTGAGCCCAGGAGCTGGAGATCAGCCTGAGCAACATAGTGAGAACCCATCTCTACAAAAAGTAAAAAAAAAAAACAAAAACAGCTGGGCATGGTGGTGCATGCCTGTAGTCTTACCCACTTGGGAGGCTGAGGTGGGAGAATCACTTGAGCCTGGGACATCAAGGCTGCAGTGAGCCCCGATCATGCCACCACACTCCAGCATGGGTGACAGAACAAGACCCTGTCTCAAAATAAAACAGGAAAAGCATTATCAAGATTGTTGGCTGCGTAATCTCAGCATTTTGGGATGTGGAGGTGGGTAGATCACTTGAGGTCAGGAGTTCAAGATCAGCCTGGCCAACATGGTGAAACCCTGTCTCTACTAAAACTATAAAAAATAGCCAGGTGTGATGGTATACACCTATAATCCCACCTACTAGAAAGGCTGAGGCAGAGAATCACTTGAACCCAGGTGGAGGTTGCAGTAAGCTGGGATCGCGTCACCACACTCCAGCCTGGGCAACAGAGCAAGACCCTGTCTCAAAAAAAAAAAAAAAAAAAAAAAAAAGGATAATAGTGTTTCTCTTTCTTTCTTCCTTCCCTCCTTCCTTCCTCCCTCTCTCCCTTCCCATCCTTTCCCTCCCTCCCTCCTTTTCTCTTTCTTTCTCTCTCCTTCCTTCCTTTTTTCTGTTTTCTTTTCTTTCTTTCTTTCTTTTCTTTCTTTCTTTCTTTCTTTCTTTCTTTCTCTTTCTCTCTCTCTCTTTTTCTCTTTCTCTTTCTTTCTTGTCTTGCTCTATTGCCCAGGCTGGAATGCAATGGTGTAATCTTTGCTCACCACAATCTGAGCCTCCTGGGTTGAAGCGATTCTCCTGCCTCAGCCTCCCAAGTAGCTGGGATTACAGGCACCCACCACCAAGCCTAGCTATTTTTTGTATTTTTAGTAGAGACAGGGTTTCACCATGTTGGCCAAGCTCATCTAGAACTCTTGACCTCAGGTGATCCACCTACCTTGGCCTCCCAAAGTGTTAGGATTACAGGCATGAGCCACTGTGCCCAGCCCAATAGTATACTTTCTATTAGACTTTGTGAAGTATTGAAATACTTTTCAAAACAGGTAATGTGGGTTATGAGAGAGGGAAACATGGTAAGGGACAGGAAAGGAGGGAGACTCACTATATATGCTTTTTTCCCTTATCAATTTTGAACCATCTAACTCTATTGCCTAGTTCTAATTTTTTTTTTTTTTTTTTTTTTTTTTTTTTGACAGAGTCTCGCCCTGTCACCCAGGCTGGAGTGCAGTGATGCGATGTCAGCTCACTGCAACCGCTGCCTCCTGGGTTCAAGTGATTCTCCTATCTCAGCCTCCCGAGTAACTGGGATTACAGGCACACGCCACCATGCTCGGCTAATTTTTTTAGTATCTTTAGTAGAGAAGGGATTTCACCATGTTGGACAGGCTGGTCTCAAACTCCTGACCTTGTAATCAGCTCACTTCAGCCTACCCAAGTGGTGGGATTACAGGCATGAGCCACCGCACCCAGCCCCTAGTTCTAAATTTTTTAAAAAAAGGAAAAAGAAAAGCTGATAGTTATTTGCTAGCTTTGTGCGTAACTAAGAGTCTAGGACTACAGGTTATAAGTTACTAATGTAGATACAATTCTGTTTCTTATACCTGGATGCAATATTCTATGCATAACCAGTTATCAAGGGTAGGAATTTCCATTTGACCTCTACCTGATTTTTAATTGTTTGTAGATATTGCTTGCCTAAGTAAGTGGAAATAACGTACAGCTAGTGCTCGACTTACGACCACGGTCGGGACAGCAGAACGGTCATAACACGATTTGGTCGTAAGTTGAGTAGGCTGTATGTACAGTTGAAATGGTGCACGCGGAGATGGTAGTGCTGCCGGAAGCTGGTCCGCACTGTCGTACGCCCAGCTGGGCAAAGTTTGCGCTGCCAGACACGGAGCAGTTGTGGCTAGCGATTGTGGTCATAAAGTCGAATGGTTGTAAGTTGCATAGGTCATAAGTTGATCAATACCTGTAGATGAAAAATGAAAAGTCAGCTCTCTAATTATTTCTATTGCTGGTTATGTTTAAATTTTACATAGGTGTTTTTTATACATGAGAAGTAGAAACTGACTTTAAAAGATTAGAGCTCTTAAAATGTGATTCATTATGTGTTTTTAAATGTAGGTTCTGTCATATGGTGAAGAATCCATACACCATTAAGAAACAGCCTCTGCATCAATTTGTACAAAGACCACTTTTCCCACTACCTGCAGCCTTTTGTAACCCAGGTAAAATTTCGCCTCTTTTATAGCAATTCTGTCTCAGAAACTAATGGCACTGTGCTAGGATTTTGTGGATCATAAAGGATGAGAATTTGTACATTTTCTATTTAGAAGCCTTTAGAAAGAATATTGAGAAAAAAGCTGTATTTTTCTTATAGGCTTCTAAGTAGAAAATTTATTTGCAAGGACATTGTCCAATAGATCTATGAAATCTCAGTATCTTGTATAACACATCCCCTGCAACACAAGAGTTGCTAAATAAACGATAATGAAAATATTGTAGAAAGAAGTTAAAATCTGACTGGGTATGGTGGCTCATGCCTGTAATCCCACTGCTTTGAGAGGCTGAGGCAGATGGATCACTTGAGCCCAGGAGTTTGAGACCAGCCTAGGCAACACAGTGAAACCCTGTCTCTACAAAAAAATAGCGAGGCATGGTGGTGTCTCAGCTGCTTGGGAGGCTGAGGTGAGATTATCACTTTAGGCCAGGAATTCAAGCTCGCAGTGAGCTGTGATCACACCAGTGTGCTCCAGCCTGGGTGACAAGTGGAACTCTATCTCAAAAAGAAGTTTCAAATGGGGGTTGCATTTCAAATAATTTTATGTATTTCAAGCTACTGCTTTCTTTCTTTCTTTTTTTTTTTTTGATAAGAATACCCCTAAAATTAGTAAATTTCTGGCTTTTATCCAGACCTTAGAACACAGGATTTTGATGTGGTAAAAAAGTACATTCAAAAAAAAAGAAGGAAAAACTTTTTTGTCAAAATTAATTACTATGGTTTTGTTAATAATCTTGATTGCTAACAAGATATATACCTTGATTTTCTTTAATATGGGAAATAGATGCAAGTAAAGGATTTGAAAATAAATTGAAGTGTGGTGACTATAATGTAGAGTTAAGGGAGCTTAAGGGGAGAGGGTATGTGTCTACATATGTGTATGTATGTAAATGTATACCTATATGTGTTATGGAGCTGTAAGCATATAAATTCAGCCTCTCCTTTCCATCATTAGCTTGAACACATTCCTGTGGCCATACTCTGGAAGGTGGCTGATTCTGGCTAAGAGCGTGAGTTAAATCAGGGTAGACCTTACCCTTTCTGTAGCCAGGGGCCAGAAGAGGAACACTTTCCTGCAGGCTTGCCTGACTCCTTGAATCACAGAAGAGTTTAGATGTAAATATTGTAAATACTGAGTAACTCAGAACCTTAAACCACTTTAATTGGACTTTTAAACTTCGTAAGACTGAAATACGTGGTCATATAGGCTTTTCAAATTGGAAACCCATTAATTTTAGTCATTGATACTGACTTTAAGCACACTAATCTGTATTTTGGGGGAGTTTACATCTACCTACATAGGTACCTATTAGTACCAAGCATAATAGGAAGAAATAGACTGGGTGTGGTGGCTCATGCCTGTAATCCCAACACTTTGAGAGGCTGAGGCAGGCAGATCCCTTGAGCCCAAGAAATTTGAGACCAGCCTCAGCAACATGGTGGAACCCTGTCTCTACAAAAAAATTTAAAAATTACCGGGGCATGGTGATGCGTGCTTGTAGTCCTAGCTACTCAGGAGGCTGAGATGGGAAAATCACTTGAGCCTGGGAGGTGGAGGCTGCAGTGAGCTGTAATCATGCCACTGCACTTCAGCCTGGGCAGCAGAGTGAGACACTGTCCCCAAAAAAAAAAAAAAAAAAAAAAAAAAATATGGAAGAAATATTTTTTGTCATTCTATCCTGTTATAACTCTCATGACATTTTCATGAGCATGTTTCTGGGAGTCATTTTTGAAATACCAGATTAAACCCAATTGAGACTATAATTGTGGAATGATTTTATTAAATACCTATTCAAATTTGGTGGTTTTTTTTATTTTAAGCAGGATCTCACTATGTCACCCAGGCTGAAGTGCAGTGGTGTGATCTCACACTGTAACCTCTGTTACAGGCTCACTGTAACCTCTGCCTCCTGGGCTCCAGCCATCCTCCCACCTCAGCCTCCCCAGTAGCTGGGACTACAGGTGTGAACCATCACACACAGCTAATTTTTGTATTTTTTGTAGAGATGAGGTTTTACTACATTACCTAGGCTGGTCTCCAACTCCAGAGCTCAAGTAACCTGCCTGGTTCAGCCATCGAAAGTGCTGGGATTACAGGCCTGAGCCACCGTGCCCAGCCTCAAATTAGTTTTTTAGTAATAGCTTTATTTATTGTGAAAAGTAATAAGTTCTGTGGTGATGTCATTCATTTTCATACTTTCTACTTTAGACAGTATAGAGTACAAGCGCTTGACTTTTTCTTTTCTTTTTTTGCATTTGTAGTTTTTACCCACAAGGATTTCTAAAAGTTTTTCTTTCTGCAGGTATAGTTTTTCTCAAATTGATTGAGTAGAATAAAGCCAGATTTTTTGTGTGTGTGTCTTGGCTCACTGCATCCTCTACTTCCTGGGTCAAGCAATCCTCTTGCCTCATCCTCCCATATAGCTGGCATTATAGACACATGCCACTGCAACTGACCAATTTTTGTATTTTTCTGTAGAGACAGGATCTCTGTTTCCCAGACTGGTCTCGAACTTTTGACCTCAAGTGATCTTTCTGCCTTGGCCTCCCAGAGTGCTGGGATTATAGATGTGAACTGATGTACCCAGCCAAAGTCAGATTTAATTCTTCAAATACTGGTAGAGTACTGTGTGCAGATTTTGGTTAGCAATAAATTATTAATACAAGCCGCAATAAATGATTGATTCAGAACCAGAGTTAGATTATTTACAGAAAGGGTTGGCAGCCCTTTCTTTAATGTGTCATTGAAAAATCATTCCCTTGTAACACAAGTTTTCAGAAGAATATCTTGCTGGAAATATACATATTTTAAAGGAAATGCTTGGACATTGAGGTTATTTTTTTCATTTTTTAGGATTTGCCTGGTGTCTGATTAGGACAGTGACTTAAGCAAAATGTATGGGAGTTCACTTTCAATTTTTTCTTTATCCACGAAATGGTTTCATATCAGCTAGCTAGAATTGCATGGCAAAGTGCAAAAATGACTCTCAGTTGTCAAATTAGAACCTTTTCCCTGATGGCTAAGAAAAGCATTTTTGTACCAACCATATGTTTTTCCAAATTTAATCTTTCAAATTTAAAATAAAACTGTTGCTTTTTGGTATTCTCTCTCCTAAAATAGGCAATATGAAAATTAGAACAGAAAGACTGATTTTAAATGTGTTTTCCTATTTCGCTTGGCAGTGCTAGATAAGGATTAGCAATATGTACAGTGGCTAAAAGAGTCAGCACCTAGAAAATTGTCCAGCTTTGAATCCTGGCTCTGTCACTTAGTAGCTTAGTGACCTTTAGTTTCCTTATTATAAAATAAGATAAAAACAGTATCTTGTTGAGAGGATATAAGGATTAAATGAACTAATACATGTAAAGTGCTTAGCACCCTGCCCAGCACGTGATAGGCACTGAGTAATTTTTTTTTTTTTTTTTTTTTTTTGAGACAGAGTCTCGCTCTGTTGCTCAGGCTGGAGTGCGTGGTGGCTGGATCTCAGCTCACTGCAAACTCTGTCTCCTTGGTTCAAGCAGTTCTCCTGCCTCAGTCTCCTGGGTAGCAGGGATTACAGGTGCATATTACCATGCCTGGCTTGGTAATTTTTGTATTTTTACTGGAGACAGGGTTTCACTATGTTGACCAGGCTGGTTTTGAACTCCTGACCTCAGGTGATCCGCCCGCCTCAGCCTCCCAAAGTGCTGGAATTACAGGCATGAGCCACTGTGCCTGGCCAGGCATTGACTAAATTTTAACTATTATATCCTATTGTCAATCTATTTAAATATACTCCTGTAAGATGGAGGATTTCTTCTTACTCAGATGGTTCATTTTCTTTTTTTTGAGATAGAGTCTTGCTCTGGGTCACCCAGGCTGCAATACAATGATGTGATCTGGGGCGATTCTCCTGCCTTAGTCTCCTGAGTAGCTGGGATTACAGGTGCCTGCCACCATGCCCAACTAATGTTTGTATTTTTAGTAGAGACAGGGTTTTATCATGTGGATCAGGCTGGTAATGAATGTCTGACCTCAGGTGATCCCTGCCTGCCTTGGCCTCCCAAAATGCTGGCATTATGGAGTGAGCCACTGCTTTTTTTTTTTTTTTTTTTTTTTTTTAACTGAATCTCACTTGTTTCCCCAGGCTAGAGTGCAGTGGCACACTCTTGGCTCACTGCAACCTCTGTCTCCTGGGTTCAAGTGATTCCCCTGCCTCAGCTGCCTGAGTAGCTGGGACTACAGACGCACGCCACCACACCCAGCTAATGTTTGTATTTTTAGTAGAGACAGGGTTTCACCTTGTTAACTAGGCTGGTCTCAAACTCCTGACCTCGTGATCCACCTACCTCAGGCTCCCAAAGTGCTGGAATTACAGGTGTGAGCCATAATGCCTGGCCTTTTTTTTTTTTTTTTTGAGAAAGTTTCGCTGTTTTTGCCCAGGCTGGAGTGCAATGCTGCGATCTCAATTAACTGCAACCTCCTCCTCCCAGGTTCAGGTGACTCTTCTGCCTCATCCTCCCAAGTAGCTGGGATTACAGACACCTGCCACCATGCTCAGTTAATTTTGTATTTTTAGTAGAGACAGGGTTTCATCATGTTGGCCAGGCTGGTTTCGAACTCCTGATCTCAGGTGATCCACCAGCCTCAGCCTCTCAAAGTGCTGGGATTACAGGTGTGATCCACCATGCACCTGACAGAAGATTCCTTTTCTCTTCTCTTTTCTTTTTTTGAGACAGAATCTCTGTTGCCCATGCTGGAGTGCAATGATGAGATCTCCGCTCACTGCAACCTCCGACTCCCAAGTTCATGCAATTCTCCTACCTCAGCCTCCTGAGTAGCTGGGATTACAGTCACGTGCCACCACTTCCAGCTAATTTTTGTATTTTTTTATTAGAGAGGGGGTTTCACTGTGTTGGCCAGACTCGTCTGGAACTCCTGACCTCAGCTGATCCAGCTGCTTGGCCTCCCAAAGTGCTGGGATTACTGGCGTGAGCCACTGCGCCTGGCCAGAAGGTTCATTTTCCATAATGAATAATTAGTTCTGTTTAATAGTTTTAAAACTATTAAAACACCAATGCTGTATTTTTATTTATTTTCCTGCAAGCTGTTGTCATAATAGCAAAATAGGAAATTAAGGATTCTGTTGTATCTTTATTGCTGTAGTGAATTCATTCTCAATCTAAACATGGTCCTAGAAAAAAACATAAGAAAAGAGTTGGCCAGGTGCAGTGACTCATGACTGTAATCCCAGCACTTTGGGAGGCCAAGGTGAGTGGATCACCTGAGGTCAAGCGATGGAGACCAGCCTGGCCAACATGGTGAAAACCCGTCTCTACTAAAAATACAAAACATAGCCGGGCGTGGTGGCGCGTGCCTGTAGTCCCAGCTACTTGGGAGGCTAAAGCAGGAAAATCGCTTGAACTTGGGAGGTGGAGGTTGCAGTGAGCTGAGATAGTGCCACTGCACTCCAGCCTGGTGACAGACTAAGACTCTGTCAAAACAAACAAACAAACATTAGCTGGTTATGGTGGCACGTGCCTGTAATCTCAGCTACTCAGGAGGCTGAGATGGGAGAATTGCTTGAACTCGGAAGGCACACATTGCAGTGAGCTGAGATCACACCACTGCACTCCAGCCTGAGCAACAGAGCAAGACTTGTCTCAAAAAAAGAAAGAGTCTCTAATATCTTTTAGGACAGGCACAGTGTCTCATTCCTTTAATCCCAGCACTTTGGGAGACCAAGGGAGGCGGATTGCTTGAGGCCAGGAGTTTGAGACCAGCCTGGCCAACATTGCAAAACCCAGTCTTCTACAAAAAATACAAAAATTAGCTGGGTGTGGTGGTGCACACCTGTAGTTCCAGCCGCTCGGGAGGCTGAGGCATGAGAATGGCTTGAACCCAGAAGGCGGAGGTTGTAGTAAGCTGAGACTGTGCCACTGCACTTTAGCTTGGGTAACAGTGTGAGACCTTGTCTCATAAAAAAAAAAAAAAGGTATCTTTTAAATATTCCAGGAAGTAAATTGTATAGATTTGTGCTTATATTTTGTTATGTTACTTACTGTATCATTAAGCAACTTAATTAATATTTCTTAGCTTTAGTGTCTTCATTTGTAAAATGGCAATAAGAGTTTCCTCTTTATAGGGTTGTTAAATGCATACATACATTTAAAGCACTTGAGCCAGGCCACTATGGCTCCTGCCTATAATCCCAACACTTTGGGAGGCTGAAGTAGGTAGATCACTCAAGGCCAGGAGTTTGAGACCAGCCTGGGCAACATGGTGAAATCCAGTTAAAAAAAATTAGGCTGAGCATGGTGGCTCACACCTGTAATCCCAGCACTTTGGGAGGCTGAGGTGGGTGGATCACCTGAGGTGAGAAGTTGGAGATCAGCTGGGCCAACATGGGGAAACCTCATCTCTATTAAAAATACAAAAATTAGCCAGATGTGGTGGTGCATGCCTATAATCCATGCTACTCTAGGGGCTGAGGCAGGAAAATCTCTTGAACCTGAGAGGCGGAGGTTGCAGTGAGCCAAGATCATGCAACTTTACTCCAGCCTGGGCAAAGAGCGAAACTCTGTCTAAAAAAAAAAAAAAAAATTAACTAATTAAAAATAAATAAAGCACTTGGCCCCAGAGCTGGATATGATGACTTACACCTGTAATCCCAGCACTTTACTTTGGGAGGCCAAGGTGGGGGATCACGTGCTGCCAGGAGTTTGAGACTAGCCTGAGCAACATTGGGAGACTCCACCTCTACAAAAAAATTTTTTTAAAAAAGCCTTTGGCGCTATATTTGGCACACAATAAGCACACAATAAATACTTATTATTACTATTATTATAAACTGCTAACTTTATTGTCTTTAAAACAATGATGGCACTTTGGAAAGAGAATGTAACATTTTACTGTATTAATATCATAGCAATAAGCGATCTATGATTATGATAGCCATTGGTATGAAGTCACCAAATAGAATATATATAGGACTCCTGAATTATGAATATATGTAAGACTTAAGTATAGACTATTTCTGGAATCTGTTTCATAACACAACTATTTAAATAATCAGAGTATTGGCTGGGCACAGTGTTCACATTCTAATCTCAGCACTTTCATAGTGTGAGGTGGGAGGATCATTTGAGTCCAGGAATTTGAGACCAGCCTGGGCAACATAGTGAGACTCTGTCTCTACAAAACAAACAAACAAACAAACAAAAAAACAAACACAAAAATTAACTAGGCATGATTTAAGCTGAATAAATAGCTGGGACTTCAGGTGTGATGGTGCACACCTGAAGTCCCAGCTATTTATTCAGCTTAAATAGGAGGATTGCTTGAGCCCAGGAATTTGTGGTTGTAGTAAACTGTGATTGTGCCACTGTACTCCAGCCTGAGCAACAGAGCAAAACCTTGTCTAAAACAACAACAGCAACAAAAAACCCAGAGTATTAATAGACAACTGTATGCACTTAAATATAGTGATATATGTCTTTGTTATCTTTATAAATGCTTTGTCAGAACAATAAAGTCCTGGGTTTTCCCCCAGTTTTTCTTATTTCTTCTGGTTCTCTGAAAATGAGCACTTCATACTTCATAAACTTGTTAACTATTTTTTCTAGAATAACATTTTCTCCTTTTTCTTTTTTAGTAAGATACATGTTTATTCAAACACAAGATACCCCAAATCCCAACAGCTTAAAGTTTATACCAGGAAAACCAGTTCTTGAGACAAGGACCATGGATTTTCCCACCCCAGCTGCAGCATTTCGCTCCCCTCTGGCTAGGTATATTACTGTTTTCATTTGCTTTTACCAAGAAACATAAATAACTGACATTGGCATTAAGACAACCTTATTTAACTGTTGCCTTTCTATGTGTACTGTATTTTTTTTATTAAGTGTAGAGACTAATTTTTTTTCTTTTCAGATAAGAGATTAAAAAAAAAAAATGCCTGTTGCAGTGGCTCACGCCAGTAATCCTAACACTTTGAGAGGCCAAAGTGGGAGGATTGCTTGAGTCCAGGAGTTTGAGACCAGCCTGCACAACACAGAGACCCAGTCTCTATCACACACACCACACATACACCCCCCCATACACCCATCTCTAACACACACACACACACACACACACACACACACCCATCCCTACCACACCCACATACCCACACACAAATTTAGCTGGGTGTGGTGGTGTGCACCTCTGATCTTAGCTACTCAGGAGACTGAGATGGGAGAATTGCTTGAGCCTGGGAGGTTGAGGCTGCAGTAAGCCATGATAGTGCCACTGTGCTCCAGCCTGGGCAACAGAGTGAGACCCTGTTTCAAAAAACCCCCAAAATGTTGAGGAGGCTGAGGATCACTTGAGCCCAGGAGTTTGAGACTGGCCTGGGCAGCATGGTGTAACCCTATATATAAAAAATAGACAAAAATTAGCTGAGTGTGGTGGTATGTGTCTGTAGTGCTAGCTGCTAAGGAGGCTGAGGAGAGAAGATCACTTAAGCCCAGGAGGTTGAGGAAACAATGAGCTTTGATGCCATGATTGTGCCACTGCATTCCAGCCTGAGCAACAGAGTGAGACCTTGTTGCAAAAAAGAAAAATGAGAGTTGATATTAAAAAATCTTTCTCCTGAAAAGTGATATATTTGAGACATCTATTGCATGAATAAATAAAAACATATTTTTACTTAAGAAAAAAGATTCATCAAATTGATAAATATGATAAATTTCCATTTCAGATCTTTAAAAATCTGATTTTTAAGAATAATGAGAACTTGCTTATTTTATGCATAAGGGTAGTTGAATTTGTAGATGTTTCAAGATAGAGTAATTTATAAAAGACTCTATTCAGAACTATGAATGAAAATGAGTCAGTGGAGACAGTTTTAAAATTTACCAGATAAAGGCAGGTTTAAACCAGTAGTTCCCCGCTTATCTGTGGTTTCACTTTCCCTGGTTTCAGTTACCTAAGATCAGCCATAGTGTAAAAATATTAAATGGAAAATTTCAGAAATAAACAATTCATCTGTTTTAAATTGTGCTGCCTTTCTGAGTAGCATGGTGAAATCTTTCGCTGTCCTCCCCAAGGCCTAAATTATCCCTTTTTCCAGTATATCCGTGCCGCCATATACGCGATCCGTCTGCCTGTGTCCTCCCCTCTGCTGATCCCTCCCTCCCTCCTGCCCTGCCCCCGCCGCACCATTAGTCACTTAGTAGCCATCTCTTGCGGTAAAATAGCTGGCATATTGTTATAATTGTTCTATTTTATTATCACTTGTTAATCTCTTTTTGTGCCTAATTTACAAATTAAACTTCATCATAGGTGTATACGTATAGGCAAAAAACAGTAGTCGCAGGGTTCAATGCTGTGTATGGTTTCAGGGATCCACTGGGGACCTTGGAACATACCCCTGAGGATAAGAGGGGACTGCTGTGTGTTAGAGATGATAAAGCCAGGTGATAAAATTGTTGGAATTAACCTCTTTTTAACTGATAGAGAGGTTAATAATAAGGAATATTAGAGTCATTCAGCATCAGTTGAAATTTTGGGGAACTGAAGCCTCAATCTGATTGCCAGGGATACTCAGAAAACAGAGCTTAGGTAACTACTTCTATACATATAGCCATTTTATATGTCTCATTTAAAGAACCTAGGGATTTGCTAAGCTCTGGAATAGTTTTTTAAATTTATAATTAATCAGTACTTTTTTTTACTTAAACGTATCAGTTCTCATAATATACCTTAGAGTATTTATTTTTCATATTTTATTTTTTACTTTTTATTTATGTTTTGAGGTAAGGTTACACTCCTGTCACCCAGGCTGGAGTATGACGGTGCGATCTTGGCTCCCTGCAACCTCCATCTCCTAGGTTCAAGCTATTCTCCTCCCTCAGCCTCCCAAGTAGTTAGGACTATAAGCATGTGCCACCTCACCTGGCTAAATTTGGTATTTTTTGTAGAGACTAGGTCTCATCATGTTGCCCAGGCTAGTGGTCTTAGACTCCTGAACTCAAGTAATCTGTCCTCGCCCTCCAAAGTGCTGGAATTACAGGCTGTTTTTCATACTTTTTTGATATAAGCCACAGTAAAAAATATTTTACATTGTGTGTATGTGTGAGATACAAATGTTTGATGGGATAATTTTCACTTGTTTTTTCACTCGTATAATGGGTAATAGATTCTTACATTTCCTTTCTTCATCTCTTTTTGTTGTTCTGTTTTATTTTATTAAATAAAACCCTGTCACTACATATTTGATTCTACAACTCACTGCTGGGTTTGAAAAACCCTACCCTAGAAGTTACTTGTACATGTGCCCAAGCTGTGTGGAGGGATGTATTTACTGTAATAGAAGGACATCTGAGACATACAAGTGAAGAAAGCAACTTGCACAACAGTGAGTCCAGTAAGATATTATGTATATAAATACAAAAACCACAGAACAACAAATGCACTGACAAAAAGATCTGGAAGAATATGTATGAAACATAACAGGATTTGGGTAGGGGTGGTCAAGGGGCATTTACACTTTATTATTTGAAACATTTACATCAAGAATGAGTTCATATTTTGTATTAAAAAATATAAAAGTAAAAAAGCCCCATTTCAGCTATAGATTAGTTAAAGATTATTTCTGTCAGATGTTTGGTTGGCAAAATCTCTTCAAATTAGTCTTTTGGAAATAGTCTATTAAGGCTGGTGGTGATAGCTTATACCTATAATCCCAGTACTTTGGGATGCCGAGGCAGGTGGATCACCTGAGGTCAGGCATTCAAGACCAGCCTGCCCAACATGGTGAAACCCTGTCTCTATTAAAAATATAAAAATTAGTTGGGCATGGTGGCATATACTTGTAATCCCAGCTACTTGGGAGGCTGAGGCAGGAGAATGGCTTGAATCCAGGAGGCGGAGGTTGCAGTGAGCCGAGATCATGCCACTGCATTCCAGCCTGGGTGACAGAGGGAGATTCTGTCTCAAAAGAAAAAAAAAAAAAAAAAAAAAGAAAGGAAATAGTCTGTTTAGTGCTTAGTACAGTGCCTGGCACTTAGTCAGTGTCAAATTATTTGTTGAATGAATGATTGATTGTATGGATATAGCAGTCTATTCATTCACCAGGTGGTGGACATTTCCATATTTTTTGTATGTGTGACTTTTATTTATTTTTTATTTTTCCTTAGTTCACATTTTGTAATAACATGGCACAGTTTACATTACACAAGAAGGCTCTGCTGGTAAGAACATACTGAAGATTCAGTTGCTTCACTTTTCTTTGTGGCTATTTTAAATGAAGCTGCTATAAAGATTCATGTACAAGTCTTGGTGGAGCATGTGTTTTCATTTCTTTTGGATATATACCTAGGAGTGGGATTGCTACATCATAGAGCAAAATTGGCCATGAGTTGATAATTGCTGAAGCAGCAAAGGATATATGGAGAGTTTTTCACTTTTCTGTACTTTTGGGTATGTTTAAACTTTTCCATATTCAAGCATTTTATTATCTCTTTTTTTTTTTTATTTGCAGGCAGTTATTTAGGATTGAAGGAGTAAAAAGTGTCTTCTTTGGACCAGATTTCATCACTGTCACAAAGGTAAACATAGGATTATATAAAATAAGACTTGAAATAATTTTTGTTTTTTTTCTGAGTCCAGTGCCTCTCTCCAACATTTCCATTCTTTCTGTTCTTTATTTTTTATTTTTTATTTTTGAGACAGAGTCTTACCCATTTGCCACCTGAATGTCACAAAATCAAGCGAAATATGCTGTTTTTCAACAGTCAAGGCAGTATCTGTTAGAAACGGCTGTTCATTTTTGATGTCTCAAGATTAATGGGACATAAACTATTTAAATTTGAACTGTGTGTCTTTTTAAATCTGTTACTTGACATATATCCACTGAACTTAAATCACTTGCCTGATAATGTGTGAAAATCAAAAGTATTCATTAAACTCCCCTTAAGCAATTTGAAAGCATTAGTCTGAGTTCTTTATGTCCTTAAAAGTGGACTTACTGGGTTAGTGACATGTTAAATCTAGTCCAGTATTCTCTTGTAGTTATTTATTTACTTAGAGACAAAGTCTCGGTCTGTGTCGCCCAGGTCAGAGTGCAGTGGCACGATCTCAGCTCACTGCAGCCTCAGCCTCCTGGGCTCAAGCAGTCCTCCCACATTAGCCTCTCTAGTAGCTGGGACTATATGTGCATACCACCACGTTCAGCTAATTTTTGTGTTTTTTGTAGTAGCTGGGGTTTCACCATGTTGCCCAGGCTGGTCTCAAATTCCTGCGGTCAAACAATCTGCTCACCTTGGCCTCCTAGAGTGCTGGGATTACAGGTGTGAACCACTGTGCCCAGCCCCCAATTCTTCAGTTTTCTTTCTTCCATGTTTTTTAAGGGGAAAAAGGACAAGCATTTATTTAATGTTTTCAATGTCAGATAAAGCACTAGTGCTTTACATATTTTATCTAATTCTTAGAGCTATTCATTTTATAAGTGGGAAATTATATGTTTATTTTTTAAAGTTATTTAGTTCTTCTACATATAACCTATGCTATATAAAAATTTTTATAGATGAAAATATGATTATATCTTAAAGAGTTTTTTTTTTTCCTTTTCCCTTTTTCTTTCTTTCTTTCTTTTTTTTTTTGAGACAGTCTCAATTTGTCACCTAGGCTGGAAGTCTGGAGTGCAGTGGTATAATCTTGGATCACTGCAATCTCTACCTCCTGGGTTCAAGCAATTCTCCTGCCTCAGCTTCCTTAGTGGCTGAGATTATAGGCATCTGCCACCACGCCCAGCTAATTTTTTTGTAATTTTTAGTAGAGACAGAGTTTCACCATGTTGGTCAAGCTGATTTTGAACTCCTGACCTCATGATCCACCCACCTCGGCCTCCCAGAATGCTGGGATCACAGGCATGGCCACTGGCCTCCTCCTATTTTTCTTGATTAGATTTAGTAAGTAAGTCATTTTTTAGCTCTCTCTCTCTTTTTTTTTTCTTTTTTTTGTTTAGTAGAGACAGGGTTTCGCCATGCTGGTCAGGTTGGTCTCGAGCTCCTGACCTCCGGTGATCTACCCGTCACGGTCTCCCAAAGTGCTGGGATTACAGGCGTGAGCCACTGCACCTGTCAGCTCTCTTACTTTCATTATTTAGTAGCCTATTTGAAATTGTTCTGGCTCTACCGTTTTTTCTTAAGTAAAATGACATAATTAATAGATAATATTCCAAGTTAGGGTATATGTTGATGCGTGTGTGTGTGTGTGTGTGTGTGTGTCTGTCTGTCTGTCTGTCTGTCTGTCTGTCTATTCATCCATCCATCCATCCATCCATAGATATAGATGGGATCTCGCTCTGTTTCCCAGGTTGGAAGGCAGTGGTTCAATCATGGGTCACTGCAACCACTAACTCTCAGGCTCAATCGATCCTCCTGTCTCAGTTTCCCAAGTAGCTGGGACTACAGGTGCTTGCCACCATGCCCAGCTAATTTTTTTTTTTCCTTTTTTCTTTTTTCGTTTTTTTTTTTTTTTTTTTTTTTTTTGTAGAGACAGGGTCTTTCTATGTTGTCCAGGCTGGTCTTAAACTCCTGGGGTCATGCAATCCTCCTGGCTTGGCCTCCCGAAATTTGGGATTACAGGTGTGAGCTACCACGCCTGGCCCATGTTGGTATTTAATAGATGGAATACTAGATTTGATTTGTTTTCTCTCAGTAAGCTTTCTCATCATAGACTGTCACATTTTAGTCAATGTCTTCAGCAGTCACCTGTTTCTATTTCTGATTTCCAGTTGGTAATTAGACTTCTTTATGCATCATTTGTGTTGCTTTTTCTAAATGTATATGTATATTTGCAGCTTATATGCTTCCTTTTTTCTCATTCAGGCAACTTGAGAATATTTTTCTTTTTATTACCAATATTTTCCTATTTAGTAAGCCTGCTATTTACTGAAGATCTGAGGTAGCACTCTTACTTATTTTCCAAATAATTTATTACCTGGAACTAGTTTTGGTTTCCAATCACGAAGATATTTCACTAATTTTCCTTTACTCTTATAACCTTAGCAGTCCCCGTTTATCTCACCTTTTATGTACTATCTCTAAATTCGTTCTGTGTTTTGTATTTTGTTATTATTTTCTGAAACAGTGTCTCACTCTGCTGTCCAGCCTGGATGGCAGTGGAGCCATCTCAGCTCACTGCAACCCCAGCCTCCTGAGTTCAAGTGATTCTCCTGCCTCAGCCTTCTGAGTAGCTGGGATTACAGGCATGTGCCACCACACCCAGCTAATTTTTGTATTTTTAGTAGAGACAGGGTTTTACCGCGTTGGCCAGGCTTGTCTTGAACTCCTGACCTTAAGTAATCCACCTTTTTCGGCCTTCCAAAATACTGGGATTACAAATGTGTGGTAATCCACTGCACTCAGCCTCTAAATTGGTTCTTAATCCATGAATTAAAATAGTTTCTTTTATCTATGTTGGCTCAATTCTTTTTTTTTTTTTTCTGAGACAGGATCTTCCTCTTTTGCCCATACTGGACTGCAGTGGCATGAACATGACATACTGCAGCCTCAACCTCCTGGGCTCAAGCAGTCCTTCTCTTCAGCCTTCTAGTAGGCAGGACTGTAGGATATTACCATGTCCAGCACATTTTAAATTTTTTTGTAGAGATAGGGTCTTGTTATGTTGCCTAGCCTGGTCTGAAACTCCTGGGCTCAAGCAATCCTCCTGCCTTGGCCTCCCAAAGTGCTGGGATTACAGTTGTGAGCCACTATGCCAAGCCTCAATTTTTAATAGTATTTAAGTATAGATTCTAGCTAACAGGATCCTAAGAGTCTAAAGAGACTGCATCTAATATTTTTTCCTCCTATAGAACCTCCCTTTGAAAAACTAGAACAGGCTGAGTGCTATGGCTCACACCTGAAATCCCAGCACTTTGGGAGGCTGAGGTAGTAGGATCACTTGAGGCCAGGAGTTCGATATCAACCTGCAAAGCATAGTGAGATACCATCTTTATAAAAAAAAAAACAAAACAAAAAACATAAAAATGATTATCCAGGCTGAGGTGGGAGGATCACTTTACCCTCAGAGGTCTAGGCTGCAGTGAGCTATGATTGTGCTGCTGCATTCCAGCCTGGGTGACAGAACCAGACCCTGTCTCTAAAAAAAATTTTTTTTAACGTAAAAAGTTAAAAAATAAAATTAAAAACTGAAAAACTAGAACAAAACATGTTGCCTTTCTCTTTGTAGATATTAGTACTATTTAGGTATTTAATAATTTCATCTTTTTATTCATGGAAACAACTAATCGGCCAGGTATACTGAACAGTTACGGAATCCTTCTTTAAGAGACCAGTCTTCTTGCTAGTTCACAGGTCCTCCAGCAGAATAACATTGATTCTACAGTTATATCACTGAATTTCTTTTTTTTGTTTGTTCATTTTTTTTTTTTTTTTTGGCGGCAGAGTTTCGCTCTTCTCACCCAGGCTGGAATGCAGTGGCACGATCTCGGCTCACTGCAACCTCCGCCTCCCAGGTTCAAGCAATTCTTCCTCAGTCTCCCAAGCAACTGGAATCACAAGCCTGTACCACCACGCCTGGCTAATTTTTGTGTTATTAGTAAGAGACAGGGTTTCACCATGTTGGCCAGTTTCGTCTCGAACTCCTGACCTCAGATGATCCACCTGCTTTGGCCTCCCAAAGCACTGGGATTACAGGCGTGAGCAACCATGCCTGGCCGAATTTCTTTCATACCCTTTAAGTAGTATAGGTAAGTAAATTTTTGAACAGTTGTAGGCTGTCCTGTATACCACTTGGTCAAGCAGTTACATCCTATTTTTTTTTAAAAAAAGAATGGGAATCTCTTTTATCATCTTCTTAAAAGACAGAAAATCCATTTAATATTTTGTCTTCACATCACAAAAAAAGTCTTTTAATCATTTAAATCATCCCCTATACATAGTACATACAACGCAATGAAAGTTTGATAAGTGAATAAATTAATGAATGAATGGAGGATGTTTAAGATTTTATCTTCTAAAAGTCAGTTAAACAGCACACTTTAAGATGTGGAGCTAGGCCGGGCGCGGTGGCTCACGCCTGTAATCCCAGCACTTTGGGAGGCCGAGGCGGGTGGATCATGAAGTCAAGAGATGGAGACCATCCTGGTCAACATGGTGAAACCCCGTCTCTACTAAAAATACAAAACATTAGCTGGGCGTGGTGGCGTGTGCCTGTAATCCCAGCTACTCAGGAGGCTGAGGCAGGAGAATTGCCTGAACCTAGGAGGCGGAGGTTGTGGTGAGCCGAGATTGTGCCATTGCCCTCCAGCCTGGGTAACAAGAGCGAAACTCCGGAACAACACAGATCCAAGATGGCTGATCACTAACAGCTCGGGATTGTAGCTCCCACTGAAAGCGCAAAGAATGAGAGGACGCCATGCCTTCACATGAATTCTTGTTGCTCATGTACCAGGAGATTCCCAGCGGAGGAGCCCCACGGGTCGCCAGCGCGACTCTTGTGACCAGCGAGGCGGTTTTGCCGGCGCCTTGGAGCGACAGTTCTTGGTGCAGAGTCGGAAAAGCACCATTAATCTTTTTTTTTTTTTTTTTTTTTTGAGACGGAGTTTCGCTCTTGTTACCCAGGCTGGAGTGCAATGGCGCGATCTCGGCTCACCGCAACCTCCGCCTCCTGGGTTCAGGCAATTCTCCTGCCTCAGCCTCCTGAGTAGCTGGGATTACAGGCACGTGCCACCATGCCCAGCTAATTTTTTGTATTTTTAGTAGAGACGGGGTTTCACCGTGTTGACCAGGATGGTCTCGATCTCTCGACCTCGTGATCCACCCGCCTCGGCCTCCCAAAGTGCTGGGATTACAGGCTTGAGCCACCACGCCCGGCCTGCACCATTAATCTTAACGCCGCTGATTTGGTCGGTGCAGTGGGTTGCTCAGATTTCGGCGCTGAGAATCAGTAAGCTGGACGTCCACTCAGAAACCTAATTACAAAGACGGTGAATTCAAAGACCACAGATGGATAAATTTATAACGAAGGGAGGAAAACGGCCAAAAAAGGCTGAGAATGCCCAAGATCAGAAGGCCTCTCCCTCAGCGGGGGATCACAGTTCCTCATCAGCAACGGAACAAGGCTTGATGGAGAACGAGTGTGTTCCAATTACAGAAGCAGGCTTCAAAATGTGGATAATGAGAAACTTCTGTGAATTAAAAGAACTTGTTTTAACCCAATCTAAAGCAACTAAGAACTTTGAAAAAAGATTTGACGAAATGTTAACAAGAATACACAATTTAGAGAGGAATATAAGTGAATTGATGGAGCTGAAAAACACAATAGGAGAACTTTGTGAAGTATGCACAAGTTTTAACAGCCGAATTGATCAAGCAGAAGAAAGGATATCAGAGGTCCAAGACCAACTCAATGAAATAAAACAAGAAGACAAGATTAGAGAAAAAAGGATACAAAGGAACGAGCAAAGTCTCCAAGAAATATGGGACTATGTGAAAAGACCTAATCTACGCTTGATAGGTGTACCTGAATGTGACGAAGAGAATGAATCCAAGCTGGAAAATACGCTTCAGGACATTATTCAGGAAAATTTTCCCAGCCTAGTAAGGCAGGATAATATTCAACTCCAGGTAATACAGAGAACACCACAGAGATATTCCTCAAGAAGAGCAACTCCAAGGCACATAATCGTCAGATTCACCAGGGTTGAAATGAAGGAGAAAATACTAAGGGCAGCCAGAGAGAAAGGTCAGGTTACCCACAAAGGGAAGCCTATCAGACTTACAGCAGATCTCTCAGCAGAAACCCTACAAGCCAGAAGAGAGTGGGGGCCAATATTCAACATCCTTAAAGAAAAGAACTTTCAACCCAGAATTTCACATCCAGCCAAACTAAGCTTTACATGTGAAGGAAAAATAAAGTTTTTTGTGAATAAGCAAGCACTCAGAGATTTCATCACCACCAGGCCTGCTTTACAAGAGCTTCTGAAAGAACCACTACACATATGAAAGGAACAAACAGTATCAGCCTTTCTAAAAAAATTATCAAAAAGAGCATCAATATAATGAAGAATTTACATCAACTAATGGACAAAATAGCCAGCTAATGGCAGTATTAAACTCACATATCTTATTATTAATTCTAAATTTAAATTGACTAAATCCCCCAATCCAAAGACAGGCAATTTGAATAAAAAACTAAAACCCATCAGTATGCTGCATCCAGATCCATCTCACATTCGAGGATACACAAAGACTCCAAACAAGGGATGGAGAAAGATTTACCAACCAAACAGAGAGCTAAAATAAATAAATAAAAAGCAGAAGTTACAATTAAGCAACAAAGATCAAAAGAAGCAAAGAAGGACATTATATAATGATAAAAGGATCAATGCAACAACAAGAAGAGCTAAAGATCCTAAATATATACGCACCCAATACAGGAATACGCAGACATACAAGACTTATAAAGAGACTTAGACTCCCACATAATAATAGTGGGAGACTTCAACATTAATATTAGACAGATCAATGAGACAGAAAATTAACAATGATATTCAGGACTTGAACTCAGATCTGGAACAAGTAAATGTAATTAACATTTATAGAACTCTGCACTTTAAATATAGAAAATATACACTCTTATCAGTACCACATCATATCAACTTAGAAGTTTAAAAGAAATCTTGGTTGGCTCCTTGTTTGCTATTCTCTTCCCTCATTTTCTTTCATGTCTCCATTATTAAGGACAATTATAGGCATACCCATATTTAGACTGCATTCTAGCTCGGGCAATAAAGCAATACCCCCATCCTCTCTCCTTCTTCCTCTTTCTCTTTCTTCCTCTTCTTTATTCTTTAAAAAAAAAAAAAAAAAAAAAAAAAGAGCGAAACTCCGTCCCCCCAAAAAAAAAGATGTGGAGCTAATATGTATTCTTCAGAAATGGTGGCCATTGCATAGGTATAGTATGTCTATTCTTTTCTTTTTTCCTCTTTTCCCTTTCCCTTTTCCCTTCTCCTTCACTTTGCCTGCCTGTTTGCCTTCCTTCCTCCTTTCCTTTTTTCTGTTTCTTTTCTCTTTTTTTCTTTCTTCCTTTCTAATTATATATTATTTTTAAAAATATAAAAAGAGATGAAGTCTCACTATGTTGCCAAGGCTAGTTTCGAACTCCTGGACTCGAGCAATCCTCTTGCCTCAGCTTTGGGATTACAGGCATGAGCTGTCACACCTGGCCAGGAAAAGATTCTTAAGAGGTATAAGGTAGTGTTCTGTATGGGTCTTTGCCCTTGCCTGAAAATATAGCATTTTCCTTTAAATGTTTATAGGAAAATGAAGAATTAGACTGGAATTTACTCAAACCAGATATTTATGCAACAATTATGGACTTCTTTGCATCTGGCTTACCGCTAGTTACTGAGGAAACACCTTCAGGAGAAGCAGGTAACATGTTGTATTGAGTAATTAATATCTGTCTTTTTTTTAGACTTTTCTATTTTCACATTTACCTTTATTTTAGAAGTCATATGAATATAGATGTCTATCATTTAATAAGTTTAGTTCTGGGAATTTATATATCATTTTGAAAACTTGTATATAAATTGGCATTATTATATAAAACCAAAATTTTCAATTATAAAAATTTTCAAACATGCAGAAAATAATATCATGCTCACCAATATGCCCTTCACTCATATTTGACAAATGTTAATTAAGTTACTGAATGGGCTTTTAGGAAAAACAAAACAAATATTATCTTTTGCCACAGTTGCTTTAGACTCATTTTAAATAAAATATTAAACATATGGTGTTAGATTCTAGAGCATAAAGTAAATAAGAAACAGCTAAAACCGCTACACCCTCATCCCTTCTCCCTTTCCACTTTCAGAGATGTGTGTAAACTTGGTTTGTTTTTATACTTTTATTATACATGTAAGTCTCTGCAGGGAATAGATAGTATTAGTTTTTGTTCTTAAGTTTTAAATATCTTTTTTTTTTTTTAAGACAGACTCTCACTCTGTCACCCAGGCTGGAGTGCAGTGATGTGAGGTCGGCACACTGCAACCTCCGCCTCCCAGGTTCAAATGTTTCTCATGCCTCAGCCTCCCAAGTAGCTGAGATTACAGGCGTGCATTACCACACCCAGCTAATTTTTGTATTTTTAGTAGAGGTCAGATTTCATCATGTTTGCCAAGCTGGTCTTGAACTCCTGACCTCAGGTGATCTGCCTACCTTGACCTTTCAAAATGCTGGGATTACAGGCGTGAACCACTGTGCCCAACCTTAAATATCTTGTGTTGTACTGCAGCTTGCTGTTTTTACCAAGTATAATATCTTTAAAATATATCCATTTCAAAAAATATAGTTCTAGTTTACTCATTTTACATGCTGGATAGTATTTCATTAGATGAATAAGATATAGTTAATTTGTTCCTTTTTGTTCAAGTGAAGTTTTGTACTACCTTTTATTGTAAACATTGCTGTAGTGGGCATCCTTATACAAGTCGGCTTGTGAATATGTGGAGAGCTTCTTTGTTTCTTTATTTATTTTATTTTTATTTATTTTTGAGACAGACTCACTCTGTTATCCAGGCTGGAGTGCAGGGCACCATCTCAGCTCACTGGAACCTCTGTCTCCCAGGTTCAAGATTCTCCCTCATCCTCCTGAGTTGCTGGGATTACAGGTGTGCACCACCACGCCCAGCTAACTTTTGTATTTTTAGTAGAGACAGGGTTTTGCCATGTTGGCCAGGCTGGTCTCAAACTCCTGACCTCAAGTGATTTACTCCCCTTGGCCTTCCAAAGTTTTGGGATTACAGGCGTGAGTCATTGTGCCTGGCCAAGAGCTTCTTTAGATGATGTTCCTAGATGTGGAATTGCTGTATCATAAGTTGGTCTAATTAAATGCATATTAGCAGTATATTGAAGAATTTCAACTTTTTTATATCTTTGTCATCATTTAATGTCTCTTATTTTTTTAACCCAGTATGTTGGGTATAAAATAGTATCTTGTTTTTTTTTTTTTTTTTTTCTTGTTTTTTTTTTGAGATGGAGTTTTGTACTTGTTGCCCAGGAGTGCAGTGGTGCAATTAGCAGTATATTTTAAGAATTTCAACTTTCTTACATGTTTGTCATCATTTAGTGTCTCTTATTATTACTATTATTACTTTTTACCTGTATGTTGGGTATAAAATGGTCCTTTTTTTTTTTTTTTTTTTGAGTTGGAGTTTTGCTCTTGTCCCAGGCTGGAGTGTAATAGTGAGATCTCGGCTCACCGCAACCTCTGTCTCCCGGGTTCAAGCCATTCTCCTGCCTCAGCCTCTCAAGTAGCTGGGATTACAGGTGCCCGCCAATACACCCAGCTAAGTTTGTATTTTCAGTAGAGGTGGGGTTTCACTGTCTTGACCAGGCTGGTCTCAAACTCCTGACCGCATGATCCACCTGCCTCGGCCTCTCAAAGTGTTGGGATTATAAGTGTGAGCCACCATGCCTGGCTGGTATCTTGTTTTAATTGCATTTTCTTGATTAATACTGAGTGTGAAGAGTTTCATATGTTTATTGGCCATTTACTTTTCTTGTCAGTAAATTTTCTATTTATATCTTTTCCACTTAAAAAAAAAATTTAGTCATGTGTCTTTTTTTTTTTTTTGAGACAGTGACCTGCTCTGTCACCCAAGCTGGAGTGCAGTGGCATGATCATTGTTCACTACAGCCTCAGCTTCCCAGGCTAAAGCCATCTTCTTGCTTCCATCTTCCAAGTAGCTGGGACTGTAGGCACCTGCCACCATGACTGGCTAATGTCTTTATTTTTAAAATTTTTTCATAGAAGCCAGGCATGATGGCTCACGCCTGTAATCCCAGCACTTTGGGAAGTCAAGATGGGGTGGGGGGGTCACGAGGTCAAGAGATTGAGACCATCCTGGCCAACATGATAAAACCCCGTCTCTACTAAAAATACAAAAATTAGTTGGGCATGGTGGTACATGCCTGTAGTCCCAGCAGCTTGGGAGGCTGAGGCAGGAGAATCGCTTGAACCCAGGAGGCGGAGGTTGCAGTGAGCCCAGACCAGATTGCGCCACTGCACTCCAGCCTGGTAACAGAGTGAGAGGCTGTCTCAAAAAAAAAAAAATTTTTTTTTTTTTGTAGAGATGAGATCTTGTTATGTTGCCCAGGCTGGTCTCAAATTCCTGGCCTCAAGTGATCCTCCTGCCTCAGCCTCTCAAAGTATTGAGATTATAAGCATGAACCACCACCTGGCCCATATACTTATTTAAGCATTTTTTTTTTTTTTTTTTTTTTTTTTTTTGAGATGGAGTTTCGCTCTTGTTACCCAGGCTGGAGTGCAATGCCGCGATCTCGGCTCACTGCAACCTCCGCCTCCTGGGTTCAGGCAGTTCTCCTGCCTCAGCCTCCTGAGTAGCTGGGATTACAGGCACACGCCACCATGCCCAGCTAATTTTTTGTATTTTTAGTAGAGACAGGGTTTCACCATGTTGACCAGGATGGTCTCGATCTCTTGACCTCATGATCCACCCGCCTCGACCTCCCAAAGTGCTGGGATTACAGGCGTGAGCCACCGCGCCCGGCCTTAAGCATGTTTTTAAACAATATTCTGGGCTGGACACCATGCCCCACACCTGTGATCCCAGCGCTTAGGAAGGTCAAGGCGGCAGATTGCATGAGCTCAGAAATTTGAGACTAGCCTGGGCAATATGGCAAAACCCTGTCTCTACAAACAAATACAAAAATTAGCTGGGCATGGTGATGTGTGCCTGTAGTCCCACCTACTTGACAATTTTAGGTGGGAGGATTGCTTGAGCCCACGAGGTTGAGGCTGCAGTGAGCCACACGCTACTACACTCCATCTCGGGTGATAGAACTAGACCACGACTCTTAAAAAAAATCTCATTCTCTCTGTATACATATAAATATTTTGAATATTAATTCTTCCTTAGGTATATTCTTAGCAAATGATAGCTCCCTAACTATGACTTAACTTTTCACTTTGTTTATGATGTCTTTTGTCATACAGAAGATTTCCATTTTAATGTAGTCACTTTTGTTCATCTTTTTTCCTTTGTGGCTTGTGCCTTTTGTACCTTGTTTTGGTAAGTTATTTAGTGTAAAGCCCTTGGAAAAGTAACTATACATGAAGTTCAATAAGTATTTGCTGATACTGTTATATTAGTTGTTGATGAAGTTTTTCCTTTCTTTAGTATCACAAAGATATTGTCATATGTGTATATGTATTTTTTTAAGTTTTATTTTTTAAACTTACATATTTAATCACTGTGGGATTTGTTTTTCTATATAAAGTATAACAATTTTATCTTTGTCTATGGTAATCAATTATCCCACTCTGTTCTTTCCTCATGAATTTATAATGTTATACGTGGGTCTTTTTCTAAGATGTTTTTCATTCGTGTGGTCTTTTTGCTCCCCTTCCTATTTCAATAACATATATGATTTTAATTATAGTAGCTCTGTAACAATTAGTATATTATATGATAATATCTGAAAGAAACAGTTCCTCAAAAAACCTTTATGGTGGTCTGATTTCTTTATTCTTCTTTGTAAATTTAATGATCATCTTGTAAAGTCTCTGAAAAACCCTTTCAAGAGTTTAGTTGAAATTGCATTAAATTTATAGATTAAATTTGGGAGAATTAACATTTCTTCAACATTGATATTTTTTCATCCCCAAATTTTCCCATTTACTTGAGACTTCTCTTATTTTATTTTCTTGATATGAGCTCATGTTAGTTCTAGGTACCATATAGGTCTTGTCATAAATGGTTCTTATTTTGTTAGTAAGCACTTATTACTGTATTTCAAGCACAATTCTAAGCACTTTACAAGTATAAACTCACTTAATTCTTAAAATAACCTTATAAGATAGGAACTGTTACCACATTTCATACAGGAGAAAGCTCAGGCACTGAAAGGTTGAGTAATTTGTTGAAGGTCACACAGGTAGTAAGTGGCAGAGATAGCTACGAACTTTGGGCAGTCTGGCTCCAGCGTTCATGCTCTTAACCACTACACCCTCTGCTTGTATCTGTTTTTTGTTTTTTTTTGTTCTTTTTGATAAAGTCTTGTTTTGCCGTCCAGGCTAGAGTGTGATGGTGCAGTCTCGGCTCACTGCAACCTCTGCCTTCCGGGTTCAAGCAATGCTCCTGCCTCAACCTCTTAAGCAGCTGACTTTTGTATTTTTAGTAGAGATGTGGTTTTTGTCATGTTGGCCAGGCTGCTCTCGAACTTCTGACCTCAGGTGATCTGCCCGCCTTGGCCTGCCAAAGTGCTGGGATTACAGACGTGAGCCACCTCACTTGGCCCTATATCTGTTTTAAAATAATGTTTTCTAATTTGGGACGTTGGGTATAGGAATACTGTTGATTTTTGTATATTGATTTTATAACTGTCAGGGTTAATGCTCATTAGTTCTAATAGTTGATCAATGTTAATAAGCATTGACCACAAAAACTGAATGTTTATATGTGTATACATATGCATATATACTGCTGTAGTTTGGATGTTTGTCCTCTCCAAATCTCATGTTGAAATTTGATCCCAGTGTTAGAGGTGGAGCCTCATGGAAGGTGAGTGGGTCATGAATGCCCTCTGGAAGAGCTGGGAGTGTGAGGGGATGTGAGTAAGTTCTTACTCTGTTAGTTCTCTTAAGAGCTGAGTGCTAAGAAGAGCCCCAGTAACCCATCTCCTTCCTTTCTCACCATGTGATCTCTGCATGGGCCAGCTTCCCTTCTCCTTCTTCCATGAGGTGAAGCAGCTTGAGGACCTCACCAGATGCCAAGTCAACTTTTCTAGAATCAACCAAATTTTTTTTCTTTATAAATTACCCAGACTCAGTCATTCCTTTGTAGCAACACTAAATAGACTATGACATACAGAAACGTTTGTATAAACGTCTTTAGATGATACAGGTATACTTTTAGATATAGAGTAAGGGTCTTAGACATGTGCACAAGGCAACAGGTATAAACATGTTCACTGAAAAAAATTTTTTTTTTAAGATGGAGTCTTACTCCCATTGTACAGGCTGGAATGCAGTGGCACGATCTCGGCTCACTGCAACCTCTACCTCCCAGGTTCAAGAGATTCTCCTTCCTCAGCCTCTTGAGTAGATAGGATTACAGGCGTGTGCCACCACACCTGGCTAAATTTTGTATTTTTAGTAGAGACGGGGTTTTGCCATGTTGGCCAGGCTGTTCTCGAACTCCTGACCTCAGGTAATCCACCCACCTCAGCCTCCCAAAATGAACTAGATTGGGCGATACCAACATGGAAACATAAAAAAGAAAATATTAAGTGAAAAAGGAAAATTCAAATGTGTGTACATTTATAAATGTATCATATATGAAAATTTTTAGTACTACGTGCTTGATTGATCTATATGTAAACCTTATGACTTTCTTAGAGTAATTTGACTATATCTACTAACATTAAAAATGCACAAGCTGGGCCGGGCGTGGTGGCTCAAGCCTGTAATCCCAGCACTTTGGGAGGCCGAGGCGGGTGGATCACGAGGTCAAGAGATCGAGACCATCCTGGTCAACATGGTGAAACCCCGTCTCTACTAAAAATACAAAAAAAATAGCTGTGCATGGTGGCGTGTGCCTGTAATCCCAGCTACTCAGGAGGCTGAGGCAGGAGAATTGCCTGAACCCAGGAAGTAGAAGTTGCGGTGAGCCGAGATCGCGCCATTGCACTCCAGCCTGAGTAACAAGAGCGAAACTCCGTCTCAAAAAAAAAAAATGCACAAGCTGACCAGGCATAGTGGCTTACACCTGTAATCCCAGTAATTTGGGAGGCTGAGGCTGGTGGATCACCTGAGGTCAGGAGTTCGAGACCAGGCTGACCAACATGGCAAAACTAAATCTCTACTAAAACTACAAAAACTTAGCCATGTGTGATGGCAGATGCCTATAATCCTAACTACTTAGGAGGCTGAGGTAGGAGAATTGCTTGAATTCAAGAGGTAGAGGTTGTAGTGAGACAAGGTTACGCCATTGCAATCCAGCCTGGGCAAAAAGAGCAAACCTCTGTCTCAAGGAAAAAAAAAAAAAAAAAAAAGCACAAGCCTGTTTACTCAGATATCCCACCAGTAGGAATTTACCTCATAATTGCGAAAGTACATTGATGTGTGTGTGTGTGTGTGTATAAATAATTTTTTTTTTGAGACTGCGTTTCACTCTGTCACCCAGGCTGGAGTGCAGTAGTGCGATTTCAGCTCACTGCAACCTCCACCTCCCAGGTTCAGTGATTCTTCTGCCTCAGCCTCCTGAGTAGCTGGGATTATAGGCACCTGCCACCATACCCAGCTAATTTTTGTATTTTTAGTAGAGATGGGGTTTCACCAACTGGCCAGCCTGGTCTCAAACTCCTGATCTCAAGTGATCCGCCTACCTCAGCCTCCTAAAGTGCTGAGATTACAGGTGTGAGCCACCAAGCCCAGCCTTTTGATGTATATTTATATAAGCAAGTATGTTGCAGGATTGTTAGAAATAGCAGCAAACTGTGTAAACAACTGAAATCATGAAGAAACTGGCCAAAGACAAATCTATATGAAAGTTACTGTGCACCTATTTTAAATATTGTGGCATATTTGTATATGCCAATGGGGAATGACCTTCAAGATATATTACATAGAAAAGAGCAAGATATAGAATAGTGTGTATAGTATAATCTCATTTGTGTTAATTTATACATGTCAATGTAAACATGCTGGGAAGATATAAACTAAACTCATGACAGTGATTGTCTATGGAAGGGAAGTAGAATTTAGGTTTACTGAATTTTAGCTTTTGAGCTTTTTTCCCCCAACAAATTTATTTTTATTTGTTTTGTTTTATTTTATTTTTTGAGGTGGAGTCTTACTCTTTTGCCCAGGCTGGAGTGCAGTGGTGCCATCTCAGCTCACTGCAGCCTCTGTCTCCTGGGTTCAAGCAATTCTCCTGCCACAGCCTCCCAAGTAGCTGAGATTACAGGCATGTGCCACCATGTCCAGCCAATTTTTATGTTTTTAGTAGAGACAGGGTTTCCCTACTAAAAATATAAAAATACAGGTTTAGTAGAGACCATGTTGGCTAGACTGGTCTCAAACTCTTGACCTCAGGTAAGCCACCTGCCTTGGCCTCCCAAAGTGCTGGGATTATAGGCGTGAGCCATCGTGCCCTGCCCTTATTTAATTTGTCTTTTCTTTCTTTCTTTCTTTTTTTTTTTTTTTTTTTTTTGAGACAGAGTCTTGCTCTGTCACCCAGGCTAGAGTACAGTGGCATGATCTTGGCTTACTGCAACCTCTGCAACTGGTTTCAAGTGATTCTCACGTCTCAGCCTCCTGAGTAGCTGGGATTACAGGCACCCACCACCATACCTGGCTAATTTTTGTATTTTTAGTAAAGACAGGGTTTCAGCATATTGGCCAGGCTGGTCTGGAACTCCTGACCTCAAGTGATGTGCCCACCTCAGCCTCCCAAAGTACTGGCATTACAGGCATGAGCCATGTTTTATTTCTTTTCTTAAAAAACTCAAAGTTCAAATGCCCATCGATGATATACTGGACAAGGAAAATGTGGCACATACACACCATGGAATATTACGCAGCCATAAAAAACGATGAGTTCGTGTCCTTTGTAGGGACATGGATGAACCTGGAAACCATCATTCTCAGCAAACTGACACAAGAACAGAAATCAAACACCGCATGTTCTCACTCATAGGCGGGTGTTGAACAATGAGAACACATGGACACAGGGAGGGGAGCACCACACGCTGGAGTCTGTTGGGGAGAAATAGGGGAGGGACAGTGGGTGGTGGGGAGTTGGGGAGAGATAGCATGGGGAGAAATGCCAGATATAGGTGAAGGGGAGGAAGGCAACAAATCACACTGTTACGTGTGTACCTATGCAACAATCTTGCATGTTCTTCACATGTACCCCCAAACCGAAAATGCAATTAAACCCCTCAAAGTTAATGTAATTTAATTTTAATAGTCATTATTTGTGGGGTTGCCAGAATCTAGTGTATGTTATAATGTAGTATGAAATCTCTACATTTGTGGTTTTCTCAAAGGCTACCTTTTTGCTCAGAAGATTTTTAGAACATTTCAGAGCCCAGTCATGGCTCATGCTTGTAATCTCAGCACTTTGGGAGGCGAAGGCAGGAGGATCACTTGAGCCTAGGAGTTGAAGATCATCTTGGGCAACTGTATTAGTCCTGTCTCATGCTGCTAATAAAGACATACCCAAGACTGGGTAATTTATAAAGGAAAGAGGTTTAATTGACTCACAGTTCAGCATAGCTGGGGAGGCCTTAAGAAAGTTACGATCATGGCGGAAGGGGAAACATGTCCATATTCACATGGCGGCAGCAAAGAGAACTGTCAAGCGATAGGGAGAAAAGTCCCTTATAAAACCATCCGATCTTGTGAGGACTCACTATCATGAGAACAGCATGAGGGTAACCACCCCCATGATTCAATCACCTCCCACCAGCTCCCTCCCACAACACGCAGGGATTATGGGAACTATAGTTTGAGACGAGATTTGACTGGGGACATAGCCAAACCATATCAGCAACATAACAAGACCCCCATCTCTACAAAAAATAAAAAAAATTGCCTGGGTGTGGTGTCTCACACCTGTGTTCCCAAACTACTTGGGAGGCTGAGGCAGGAGGACTGCTTGAGCCCAGGAGGTTGAGGCTGCAGTGAGCTGTGATCATGCCAGTGTACTCCAGACTGGGCAACAGAGTGAAACTCTGTCTCAAAAAGGAAAAAAAAGAACATTTCAGAAATTTCCAGAAGTCTTACATCTATATTTAGTATGGTTATCATTTTGAAAACCAGTCAATTAAGAAACTGAAGATGTAACTTACAAAGTAGTTGTGGCTTTTTGTCTCAAAGTTTCCATCAAAATTCAGTCTCTTTTCTCTAATACTTTCAATCCTTGAGAACAGAGAAAGTCTGCAAATTTACTGGCTTAAAATTTCAAACCCTAATATCATTAGTATATCAAGATGTTTTAGTGTATTCGTCTTTATCATCAAATGTTGAGTTGATTGGTATTCTTTAATTTTTCCAGAGAATCAAATGAATAATTGTCTCTTCAGTTTCCCAAAATATATCTCCATACCAGGTTACATGTTCTATAGTTTTATTTAATGAATCATATAATTAAAATCATTCTGTTTTAATACTTGTATTTGCATGGCTATAAAATTTCTACTCTTGATGTTTTTACATGTAATTATTTCTAGGATCTGAAGAAGATGATGAAGTCGTGGCAATGATTAAGGAATTGTTAGATACTAGAATACGGTACGTGCTCCTCTCTCTACCTGAAATCAAGTGCTTTGGAGGCATTTTTCATTATAGCAATATAGTTTTAGTTGGCCATGAGATTAGAGTAGATTTTTAAAATAAGTTCAAGTTAATATAAACCACAACAGGTAACCATGACAATTGAATTTAAAGCCTGTATCTTCTCTACATTTACTCAAAAATTTAAACCATCCAATGTATTTAAACATATTCAATGAAGAAATGTATTCTTCACAGTCTCATTTTAGGTTTGATATTGTTATACCAAATTTCTTAAAAAGAAAAAAAAAAAGACAATGTTTGGGAAGGTTGTAAAGAGAGAATGGGTACTTATTTTCAGGATGTTGCCCATAAAGAATAAATTTAAATGAGTGGAGAACAGCAGGCTTCTACTTTTGCTTGTAGCAGAACAACAGTCACGCTGAGAACTCCCAGAAAAGCTGGATAGAATACAATAAAAAGAATTTGTTTGACGGCATTAAATAGCTGCCAGAGCAACTAAGATTTGAGATGCCAAGATCCTGGAGAGAAGGGAAGCTCTCTGAGTTTTCCCTTCAGGCATATGCTGTTCCTTTCTATATAGCTAGGGTAGGAGAAACTGGGCAGAGGGCAGCTGCCAAGAATCAGAGAAACCATTGGGCCTTTAGAAAATTTGTTTAGATGGGAAGACAAAAATTAAAATTCTGGGTTACTAGTGAAATCTTGATTTTAAGGACCAAGATCCTAGAGAGCAGGAAAGTTAAGAAAAGTAAGCCTATAGTTTTGTTTTGTTTTTTTTTGAGATGGAGTCTCGCTCTGTCGCCAAGGCTGGAGTGCAATGGCACAATCTTGGCTCACTGTAACCTCGCCTCATGTGTTCAAGCGATTCTCCTGCCTCAGTCCCCTGAGTAGCTGGGATTACAGGTGTGTGCCATCACACCCAGCTAATTTTTGTATTTTTAGTAGAGACAGGGTTTCACCAGGTTGGCCGGGCTGGTTTCTAACTCCTGACCTCGTGATCTGCCCATCCCAGCCTCCTAAAGTGTTAGGATTACAGGCGTGAGCCACTGTGCCCAGCCAAGTAAACCTATAGTTAATAACAACATATTGTATTCTTGAAAATTACAGCTGGGCATGGTGGCTTATGCCTGTAATCCCAGCAATTTGGGAGGCTGAGGATGGTGGATCACCTAAGGTCAGGAGTTCAAGACCAGCCTGCCCAACATGGTGAAACCCCATCTCTACCAAAAATACAAAAATTAGCCAGGCATCATGACGGGCACCTATAATCCCAGCTACTTGGGAGACAAGGCAGGAGAATCACTTGAACACAGGCACAGCTGCCGAGATCGCGCTGTTGCACTCCAGCCTGGGTCACAGCAAAACTCCTTCTCAAAAAAAAAAAAAAAAAAAATTGCTAAGATGGTAGCTACTAAGTGTTCTTGACACAAAAAATAAGTATGTGAGGTAATGTATATGTTAATTAGCTTGATGTAGCCATTCCACAGTGTATGCATATTTTAAAACATCATGTTGTACATGTAAATATAATTGGCCAGGTGGCGTGATTCACACCTATAATCCCAGCACTCTGGGAGGCCACCAAGGTAAGTGGATCACTTGGAGTCAGGAGTTCAAAACCAGCCTGGCCAATATGGCAAAACTGTGTCTCTACTAAAAATACAAAAATTAGCCAGGTGTACCGAGTACCAGCTGGGCCAGAGAGACCCCCACTCAGGTGGCGCTGAAGGAAATGAGAGGCAGACACCTAGATAGAACAGCAAAGTGGGTCTGTGGGTGGGAGCAGGCAGCAGCCTTCCAAACTGAGAACCTCAGGGGCTGACAGCATTCCAGGCTGAAGGCCTCCAGCAGATTCTGATCCACCTATTTATTCTCTCTGGACAGGTGATTATTATTAACAGACAGGTGTTTTGTATTTTCTCATAACTCAAAGACATACCAAGTAGGCAGCTGTTGCCCGCTTACCACTGATTACAGACAAACTAAAAGCTATTCTGCATGAGGGAGCCCTGGGGGCAGAGTCGGATATCTCAAAGAGTTGTTACAAGGTTGTATGATATTTATACATTGTCCTTCCACTTTGAAATGCCCCAAGTGGTTTTCCACTTGGAGTAGGGGGCAGCCAGGTTTTCCTTGCCATTGTTCTTCCCAGCAAACAATATATTCTATCATACACTCAGCATTCATCAGTGTTCATAAACTTAATATTTCTCAACACAGGTGTGGTGGCACACCCCTATAATCTCAGCTACTTGGGAGACAGAGGCATGAGAATCACTTGAACCCGGGAGGTGGAGGTTGCAGTGAGCCAAGATTGTGTCAGTGCACTCTAGAGTGAGACTCTGTCTCAAAAGAAGAAAAAAAAATAGTAATAATTAATTTAAAAATAAAGAAAAATAAGCCTAACACTCCCTATTTTCTCCCATAAGGCACTTACTTATTTGTAGCTATGTAAAAAAGTCTAAGAAGTTTAAAAAAAGTACTTGGAAGACAGAGCAGACTTTTGGCAGTTTTATGGTGCTGGGGTGGGGGACAAAAATTAGAGTTTAGGCTCTGTCAAGGAGGTTGGGTATTAAGAAACATCCAAGCCTGGCTGCGCTCAGTGGCTCATGCCTGTAGTATGAGCATTTTGGGAGGTCAAAGTGGATAGATCACATTAAAGTCAGGAGTTTGAGACCAGCCTGGCCAACATGGTGAAACTCCGTCTCTATGACAAATCCCAGCTACTCTGGTGGCTGAGGCAGGAGAATTGCTTGATCCAGAAGCAGAGGCAGAGGTTGCAGTGAGCCAAGGTCACACCATTGAATTCCAGCCTGGGCAACAGAGAGCAAGTGTCTTCCCAAAAAATCCAAGCTCTTGGTTAGGCTCTCCAGAGAACTGTACTCTTAAAATGAAGACACATCAGAGGTAGACTAAACTTTCAAGACTGTAGGCCAGTATTAAGTCAGTTTAATTTCGAAGTAGATAAGCTGTTGCCAGAACGTAGGATGAATCCTTTTTTTTTTTTTTCTTTTTTTGAGACAGAGTCTTGCTTTGTTGCCAGATGCCAGGATGGAGTGCAGTGGCACTATCTTGGCTCACTGCAACCTCTGCCTCCCTGGTTCAAGCAATTCTCCTGCCGCAGCCTCCCGAGTAGCTGGGACTGCAGGTACATGCCACCATGCCCAGCTGATTTTTGTATTTTTTTTAGTAGAGACAGGGTTTCACCATGTTGGCCAGGATGGTCTCGATCTCTTGACCTCGTGATCTGCCAACCTCAGCCTCCCAAAGTGCTGGGATTACAGGTGTGAGCCACTGCGCCCGGCCTTTTTTTAAAATTGGAGACAGGTTCTCGCTTTGCTGCCCAGGCTGAAGTGCAGTGCCACGCTCATGGCTTATTGCATCCTCAGCTTCCCAGAGGTAAGTGATCCTCCCACCTTGGCCATCTGAGTAGCTGGAACTACAGGTGTGTGCCACCACGCCTAGCTAATTTTTGTATTTTTTGTAGAGATGGGTTTTCTTCATGTTCCCCAGGATTGTCTCAAACTCCTGTGCTCAGGTGATCCACCTGCCTCAGCCTCCCAAAGTGCTGGGATTATAGTGTTCATAATTCAGTCAGATATTGCTAGGCGTATCTAGAAACTAAACCAAGATAAAATAAAACAGATTTATAGGAAACCTAGATATTGGATATTTTAAACACATGGTGTTTAAAAAACTGTGATTAAAAAAAAATAGCAAGGTGAAGAATTTCATCAGAGAACTGGAATCTGTAAAAAAAGAATTAGTAACTCTGGAACTAAAATGATAATAACTGCACTTATTAGGTTAGGCTAACATTAGATTGGACATAGTCGAAGAGAAGATTAGCATACTGGAATTTAGGTCAGTAGAAAATACTCAGCTTGAAGCACAGGGAGATAATAGACGATATAGGAAAGAAGCATGAGAGGGTGGACATGGTGCTTACACCTGTAATCTAGCATTTTGGGAGGCTGAGGCAAGAGGATTGCTTGAGCCCAGAAGTTAGAGACCACCCTGGCAACATAGTGAGATCCTGTCTCTACAAAAATTAACAAATTAGGTGGGTGTGGTGGTGTGCACCTGTAGCCTTAGCTGCTGATGAGGCAGAAAGATTGCTTGAACCTGGGAGATTGAGGCTGCAGTGAGCTGTGATCACACCATTGTACCCTGGTCTAGGTGATAGAGCAAGACCCTGTCTTACCAAAATTTTTTTAAAAAGTTTCAAGCCTATGGAGGGGAGGAATAGAATAAAAGGTACTTCATCAATCCAAAACAGTACAAAATAGGAAACAGTAAATGATAATATAAACCCAAAATTATTGGTGTTTAAATGACAGTATTTTGATGAACAAAAATAAGATTGTCAAACTGAATGTGAAAAAACAAAACTAACTATATACTGCTTAGAAGAGATATTGGGGCCAAGTATGCAACTATATACTACTTAGAAGAGATACAGGGGCCAAGAGATATATGTAATCCTAATATTTTGGGAGGCTGAGGGGCAGATTGCTTGAGCCCAGGAGTTTGAGACCAGCCTAGGCAACATAGTGAGATGCCATCTCTACAACAAAAGAAAGAGAGAGAGAAAGAAAGACAGACAGGGAAGGAAGGGAGGGAGGGAAAGAGAAAAGAAAAGGAAAGACAAGAAAAGAAATAGAATATTTGTATGACTTTTGGGTAGGCAAATTTTTTTTTCAATGGACCTAAGAAATCAGGTAGAAATCAAGGAAAATACATATAAATTGGGCTACAGTAAAATTGTGACTCTCTCTTTATCAGAAGATGCCATTGGCTGGGGACAGTGGCTTATGTGTGTAATTCCATCCACTTAGGAGGCTGAGGTGTAGGGGAGACTCTCTTGAGCCTAGGAGTTTTAGGTAGCAGTGAGCTGTGATCATGCCACTGTACCTCCAGCCTATGTGACAAAGCGAGACTGTTAAAAAAAGCCATTTACAGTGAAAAGGCAAAGCACAGATTAGAAGATATTTATGCATTTATATGACAGAATATATGAATAACTTGTACAAATTGGTAAGAAAAAGACAATCAGAGACTGGAGCAGATAATTCACAAAAGATAATCAAATAGCAGCTGGGTGAGGTGGCTTGCACCGTAATCACAGCACTTTGGGAGGTTGAGGTGGGTGGATCACCTGAAGTCAGTAGTTCGAGATCAGCCTGGCCAACCGGGTGAAACTCTGTCTCTACTAAAAATACAAAAAAATTAGCCAGGCATATGGGCGCATGCCTATAATCCCAGCTATCCAGGAGGCTGAGGCAGGAGAATCACCTGAACCCAGGATGTGGAGGTTGCAGTGAGCTGAGATCGTGCCACTACATTCCAACCTGGACAAGAGTGAGACTCTTTCTCAAAAAAAAAAAAACGACAAGTAGCCACTAAACTTTAAAAAGTGCTTAACCTTATTAGTTATTATTAACAATCAAACCACAATTAAATATTAGTACAAATCCACTAAGAAAGTTAAAACTATTAAGACTGACAATACCAATTGTTGGTGAGGATGTGGAGCAACAGAAACTCTTATATACTGCTGGTGGGAATGTAAGTTTATGTAACTGGAAAACTATATGGCAGTATTTATTAGATCTCAACATATTCATACTCTTCAGCAATTTCACTTTCAGGTATATTTCCCATAGTAATATATATGCATAACGAAAAACATTTCTAAGAATCTTTATCGCTGCACTGTTTGTAAAAGCCAAAACCTAGTATTAACCTAAATGTCCATCAATAGTAGAATGGATAAATAAATTCTGGTATATTTACTTAATGGAATACTATGCAGCAATGTGAGTAAATGACCTAGTACTATATTCAGCAACATAGATGAATCTCACAAAGAGCACAATAAGCCAGATACAAAAGAGTTATTCTATGTTATTTATAAATATAATTCATATTTGTAAATTATATAGTTTAGGCAGAACTAATCAGTGGTGATACGAATTAGGATAATGGCTGTGTTTTGTTTATGGGGAGTGATTGGAAGGAAGCCCAAAGGGGACTTTTGGAGTCTTGGTGTTGTTTCTTGGTTTGGGTGGTTTTAAATGTGTGTTCACTTTGTGAAAATGTAGTGAACTGTACATATATGATTTTAAGCATTTTTCTTTATTAATGTTATATTTCAATGAAAAATTACCTGAAAATGAAGCCAGCATGTGACAGTCTCCCTCTTCCTTCACTCAAAAGAAGTGACTGAATATATTTTAGGTAATCACAATTATTAGGAAATTTGAAATCTTAAATGCTTTAAAATGTCATAGTTTTTATTTAATTAATTAATTAACTAATTAATTTGTAGAGATAGGTTTTCATCATGTTGGCCGGGATGGTCTCAATCTCTTGACCTTGTGATCCTCCCACTTCGGCCTCCCAAAGTGTTGGGATTACAGGTGTGAGCCACCGCGCCCAGCCCATAGTTTTTATTTAAAAAAATTTTTTTTAGAGACAGGGTCTCTCTGTGTCACCCAGGCTGGACTGCAGTGGCATGATAATAGCTCACTGAGCTTCCAACTCCTGGGCTTAAGCAATCCTCCTACCTTGACCTCCCAAATTGCTGGGATTACAGGTGTGAGCCACCATTCCCAGCCTTGAAAAGATTATTGGTAAACAAGATCAAATGTGGTAAGTGGAGTAAATATTTGTATGAATGAATTTTGGTATTTTTTCTGAGAGTGGAAAAAAAGTTAAAATTATAAATAAAACTTAGCCACAGTTATTATTCTCTGTTTTAAAAGTAGCTCTAACTTTGTGAATTTTACCATTATAACATGTAAGCTCTGCCGGGCGCGGTGGCTCAAGCCTGTAATCCCAGCACTTTGGGACGCCGAGGCGGGTGGATCACGAGGTCGAGAGATCGAGACCATCCTGGTCAACATGGTGAAACCCCGTCTCTACTAAAAATACAAAAAATTAGCTGGGCATGGTGGCACGTGCCTGTAATCCCAGCTATTCAGGAGGCTGAGGCAGGAGAATTGCCTGAACCCAGGAGGCGGAGGTTGCGGTGAGCCGAGATCGCGCCATTGCACTCCAGCCTGGGTAACAAGAGCGAAACTCCATCTCAAAAAAAAAAAAAAAAAAAAAAAACATGTAAGCTCTGAGCTGTATTAAATTTTTTCAATGATAACTTGTATTTTAAAGAATAAGTAATAAATATTCTTTGACCTCACAGGCCAACTGTGCAGGAAGATGGAGGAGATGTAATCTACAAAGGCTTTGAAGATGGCATCGTACAGCTGAAACTCCAGGGTTCTTGTACCAGCTGCCCTAGTTCAATCATTACTCTGAAAAATGGAATTCAGAACATGCTGCAGTTTTATATTCCAGAGGTAGAAGGCGTAGAACAGGTATGCCAATATTATATGACAGTGTAGATTTTTTTTTTCTTTGTAGATATATAGGCTGGAAATAGATGTTAAGGCAAATATTTGAAAAGAAGTTAATGACCTAGCTTTTTCTTCAAAAGATAGATTTTTGTGTTGCAATTTTTTTTTGTTTGTTTTTTTGAGATAGAGTCTCACTCTGTTGCCCAAGCTGGAGTGCAGTGGCAGGATCTCAGTTCACTGCAACCTCTGCCTCCCAGGTTCAAGCGATTCTCCTGCCTCAGCCTCCTGAGTAGCTGGGACTACAAGTGTGCGCCACCACACCCAGCTAATTTTTTGTATTTTTGGTAAAGACAGGGTTTCACCGTGTTAGCCAGGATGGTCTCGATTTCTGGACCTCGTGATCTGCCCACCTCAGCCTCCCAAAGTGCTGGGTACAGGTGCAAGCCACCTTGCCTGGCTCATTGTCTTGCAATTTTCATCAGACTTGAAGTCTCTTATTATAGAAGTAACTTTAGTGTTATGAATACCTACTATGTGCCAGGCATTTTTACTAATATTACCTCATTTCATCTTCTAATAAACACAGTCCATTAAGTCATTCCCATTTGCACACAATACAACAGAGACTTAGAGGGCATATTGCTGCTCTGATTGCACAAAAATTATGAAAAAGGTTAAAACGTAATGCAATGTTTTATAAATGAGATTTAGAAATCTTTAGTGAAGAATTCTATTAAATCATATTTATTCACTTTGTTGTTGTTGTTGTTGTTGTTGGTAGTGACATGGGTCTTGCTATGTTGCCCAAGCCGGTCTTGAATTCCAGGCCTCAAGTGATTCTCCCAAAATGCTGGGATTAAGGATTAACACAACTGGCTTAATCTATGTATTATTTTTTTTTTTTGAGACTGAGTTTCACTCTTGTTACCCAGGCTGGAGTGCAATGGCGTGATCTCGGCTCACCGCAACCTCCGCCTCCTGGGTTCAGGCAATTTTCCTGCCTCAGCCTCCTGAGTAGCTGGGATTACAGGCACGTGCCACCATGCCCAGCTAATTATTTGTATTTTTAGTAGAGACGGGGTTTCACCATGTTGACCAGGGTGGTCTCGATCTCTTGACCTCGTGATCCACCCGCCTCGGCCTCCCAAAGTGCTGGGATTACAGGCTTGAGCCACCGAGCCCGGCGATCTATGTATTCTTAAACATGCAAGCAAGAAGCCCATTAAGAGATCATAGTTTATGGCCGGGCGCGGTGGCTCAAGCTTGTAATCCCAGCACTTTGGGAGGCCGAGGCGGGTGGATCACGAGGTCGAGAGATCAAGACCATCCTGGTCAACATGGTGAAACCCTGTCTCTACTAAAAATACAAAAAATTAGCTGGGCATGGTGGCACGTGCCTGTAATCCTAGCTACTCAGGAGGCTAAGGCAGGTGAATTGCCTGAACCCAGGAGGCGGAGGTTGCGGTGAGCCGAGATCGCGCCATTGCACTCCAGCCTGGGTAACAAGAGCGAAACTCCGTCTCAAAAAAAAAAAAAAAAAAGAAATCATAGTTTAGGCCGGGCGTGGTGGCTCAAGCCTGTAATCCCAGCACTTTGGGAGGCTGAGGTGGGTGGATCACGAGGTCAAGAGATCGAGACCATCCTGGTCAACATGGTGAAACCCCGTCTCTACTAAAGATACAAAAAATTAGCTGGGCATGGTGGCGCGTGCCTGTAATCCCAGCTACTCGGGAGACTGAGGCAGAGAATTGCTTGAACCCAGGAGGCGGAGGTTGCGGTGAGCCGAGATCGTGCCATTGCACTCCAGCCTGGGTAACAAGAGCGAAACTCCGTCTCAAAAAAAAAAAAAAAGAAATCATAGTTTGTCCCTATACTGAGTAGAATTCTAGAGCTTTATGTATAGCACAATATCATTTTTTTCTTGCCAACATACCTAAGGAATATAACATAGCACCTTGTCATCAGTGATAGACTCTCACTGCAGTGATTCTCAACCAGAAGTCATAGCTTTATGGAGAGAGATTATCAAGGAGGGACCAAGGGATGTGTGGAAATTAGAAATTTTCAACCCAGAGAACCTCAGATAATTCCTTTTTTTTTTTTTTTTTTAAGACAGAGTCAGCCGGGCGCGGTGGCTCAAGCCTGTAATCCCAGCACTTTGGGAGGCCAAGGCGGGTGGATCACAAGGTCAAGAGATCGAGACCAACCTGGTCAACATGGTGAAACCCCGTCTCTACTAAAAATACAAAAAATTAGCTGGGCATGGTGGCGCGTGCCTGTAATCCCAGCTACTCAGGAGGCTGAGGCAGGAGAATTGCCTGAACCCAGGAGGCGGAGGTTGCGGTGAGCCGAGATCGCGCCATTGCACTCCAGCCTGGGTAACAAGAGCGAAACTCCGTCTCAAAAAAAAAAAAAAAAAAAAAAAAAAAAGACAGAGTCTTGCTCTGTTGCCCAGGCTGGAATGCAGTGATTTGATCTCCACTCACTGCAACCTCTGCCTCCCGGTTTCAAGCAATTCCCATGCCTCAGCCTCCTGAGTAGGTGGAATTACAGGCATGTACCACCATTTTTTGTATTTTGTATTTTAGTAGAGATTGGGTTTCACTATGTTGCCCAGGCTGGTCTCGAACTCCTGAGCTCAGGCAATTTGCCCACCTCGGCCTCCCAGAGTGCTGGGATTACAGGCATGAGCCACCTCAGGTAATTCTGTGCCCTAGCTCCATTGGGAATCACTCATCCTTGGGTAGTATTAAAATTCATTGGTTTCACAGTGAGCAGGTCTATACAAACCTATCCCCAAAGTTTGAGGTTGCTGAGAGGCTGAAGAAAGAGGCTGACGAATCCAGTTGGTCAGAAAGAAACATTTAATATGGACTGAGGAACAGAAGCCATTTCTCTGGTGGTTGCAAGATGATGGAGCCCCACATTGTTACCCCATAGACTCCAGGGCTTATATACCATGACGAATGGGTATACATGTTTCAGAAGATATGTGTAGGACAATTAAAGTCAACCCCTCTGGAAAAGGCAAGAATGCTTATTTCCCTAATAGCATAAGCAAATTATAGGCTAAATATGTGTTTAGGATAACAACAAGGTTGTTTTAACCTAAAGGCAGGATTAAGTAGAAGTCTTAGAGGCAATCCTAGAACTGAGGTTAGTCAACATGGCAGATTAGCATTTAAGATGGAGTTGCCTTGGCCTCCACACCATTGTTTTTGTCCAGTACATGCTGTCTTCTCTTTGAAGTCTTTATCAGTCTCCTACTTGGAATTAAGTTCTTCTTTGACAGGTCCAAAGCTTTCTGTTTTGGCTTCATGTTTATGCAACTTTCTGTATCTGTTTTAGCTTTATGTTATGTGGAAGCTCCCTAAGAGACTTGAAATCATATCCAAGTCTTTGTATTCCCCTGCAACAACTAGCCCTGTGCCTTACAAATGTCCTATACATGCTTTATTATTCCAAATTAAGGAACAATTCTGCCTAAAATATGAGTTGGTTGGGACAAAATTTTTTGGATTGGGTATTAATATTTTGGAAATAAATACCAATTTTTTTTTTTTTTTTGAGACGGAGTTTCGCTCTTGTTACCCAGGCTGAAGTGCAGTGGCGTGATCTCAGCTCACCGCAACCTCTGCCTCCTGGGTTCAAGCAATTCTCCTGCCTCAGCCTTCTGAGTAGCTGGGACTACAGGCGTGTGCCACTATGCCCAGCTAATTTTTTATTTTTAGTAGAGACGGGGTTTCACCATGTTGACCAGGATGGTCTCGATCTCTTGACCTCGTGATCCACCCACCTCGGCCTCCCAAAGTGCTGGGAATACAGGCGTGAGCCACCGCGCCCGGCCCATAAATACCAATTTTTACTCAACTGAAAAGATATCCTGTGAAAGATTTCTTTTTCTATTGATTGTCTCAGATCAGAGCCAGAATCTCTCTCTCTCTGTATACATATTTTTTGAGACGTAGTTTCACTCTTGTTGCCTAGGCTGGAGTGCAATGGCGTGATCTCGGCTCACTGCAGCCTCTACCTCCCAGGTTCAAATGATTCTCCTGCCTCAGCCTCCCGAGTAACTGGGATAACAGGTGTGCACTACCACGCCCAGCTAATTTTTGTATTTTTAGTAGAGATGTGGGAATTTCACCATGTTGACCAGGCTGCTCTCAAACTCCTGACTTGAGGTGATCCACCCACCTCGGCCACCCAAAGTCCTGGGATTACAGGTGTGAGTCACCACGCCCAGCCTAGATTGTTTCTTTCTTTCTTTTTTTTTTCTTAAAAAACTCTTATTTTTGTTCCATTATCATTTATATGCCTTTTAAAAATTCATTAGTTGACACTTTGGTGGATTGACTGAGGAACATTTTTATTCATTTTTCCAGGATGGGGTGATGAATTGGCCTTCAGATTATAAACTTGAATTGGCATCTAATTGTAGTAGGTGTGGTGAGGAGAAAAAACATTCTTAGGTTTGTGTAATTTTTTCCTTCCCAACAGAGTTAGTCTGTTATCTTAGTAATACATTAACTCATGGAAAGATAATAGCTGTGGTAACATTTTTCTGAGGTTTAAAATGATCTTTTATCTGAATAAAACCAAAATAATTAGTTCCTAATATGGGTTTTTTGTTTTGTTTTGTTTTTTGTTTTTTTACTTTCTTTGGGGATTCATTTTAACAAAAATAAATATTTTTATAATAACAGTTTGGTATAGCTTCATAGAATATATTTAAGTAAATAAGATGGTTTTGAAAAAAAAAAAAAAAAGACAAAAAGTCAATTACATTAGTCTTATGGCTAGAGAATACCAGTTAATTATTTATAGTCATTTCTACCCAGCTGAGACTCTGCTATGGGTAACCTCTTAGAGACAAGGAGAAGTGATCAGTGCTTTAATTAATTTCCAAATATTTAATTTGCTTTTATGTTTTTATGATACCAGGTTATAATTCAAACCTTATTCTTTGGGACTGTTGATAGATTTATTCTTACTGGCTTGCCATGCATTGTTATAGAGTGTATCAGGTAAAGAGGTAATATAAAAATCAGGAAAATAGCAAAATCTAATCATTTTCTTAATTCTTAAATTGTCTTTGTTTTTTGGTTTTAGGTTATGGATGATGAATCAGATGAAAAAGAAGTAAACTCACCTTAAAATAATCTGGATTTTCTTTGGGCACAACAGTCAGACTTATTGATAATATATACAAGTTTTTATTATTAATAGGCAGAGAAACTTAAAGATTAATAAAATATCTTCAGAGAATGATATATAAATATTGCGTGTTTGCTTTACCTCAGATGAGTTATTTATAACCTCTTGAATCATCTTCTGTACACGTGGATTTTATCCAAGGATATTTTTATTTTTGTTCCTCATTTCCCATGGCTCCTTCTTTGCATATGTGTGAAGGAGGTTAAAATACATTTCTCCTCATCTAATTTATTTACTTTTTTTACACAGGAAGAAACAGAATGCTATTAAAAAATTATAAAATGACTTTTTGTGAAATATCTAAAACTATTTTTACTGAAGTTTTGTTGTTTTGTTGTTGTTGTTTGAGACAGTCTTGTTCTGTCGCCAGGCGCCAGGCTAGAATACAGTGGCATGATCTCCGCTCATTGCAGCCTTCACCTCCCTGGTTCAAGCAATACTCCTGCCTCAGCCTCCTGAGTAGCTGGGACTACAGGCGCGCACCACCACGCCCAGCTAATTTTTGTATTTTAGTAGAGAGGGGGTTTCACTGTGTTGGCTAGGATGGTCTTGATATCTTTTTTTTTTTTTTTTTTTGAGACGGAGATTCGCTCTTGTTACCCAGGCTGGAGTGCAATGGCGCGATCTCGGCTCACCGCAACCTCTGCCTCCTGGGCTGAGGCAATTCTCCTGCCTCAGTCGCCTGAGTAGCTGGGATTACAGGCACACGCCACCATACCCAGCTAAGTTTTTATATTTTTAGTAGAGACGGGGTTTCACCATGTTGACCAGGATGGTCTCGATCTCTCGACCTCGTGATCCACCCGCCTCGGTCTCCCAAAGTGCTGGGATTACAGGCTTGAGCCAGGTCTTGATATCTTGACCTCGTGATCCGCTGGCCTTGGCCTCCCAAAGTGCTGGGATTACAGGCGTGAGCCACCGCGCCCAGCCTTTTACTGAAGTTTTTAGCTTAAGAAACAGCTAAGCAATTCTGTTTTAAAAATCGTAGCCTCCAATTAAGTAGCACAGAACTTCTTAAGACCAAAAAAAAAAAAAAAAAAAAAAAAGGCCTGGCGCAGTGGCTTATGCCTGTAATCCCAGCACTTTAGTAGGTAGGCAAGGCTGGTGGATCAGGAGGTCAGGAGTTTGAGACCAGCCTGACCAACATGGAGAAACCACATCTCTACTAAAAATACAAAAATTAGCTGGATGTGGTGGCGCACGTCTGTATTCCCAGCTACTCAGGGAATTCAGCTCTCAGGCTGAAGCAGGAGAATCGCTTGAACCCAGGAGGTGGAGGTGGCAGTGGCAAGCCAAGATTAAGCCACTGCACTCCAGCCCAGGTGACAGCAAGACTCCACCTCAAAAAAAAAAAAAAAGTGAAAAACTCAAAAACTAATTCCAGAATCTGGACACAGTTTCTATTGGTTAAGATGGAGAGGGCTGAATTAGAAAAACTGCCTCAGTATGCCCAGCCTTTACCTTATAAATCAGAATTGTTAAAGACAAGGTAAGAAGCTGCTTTGGTCCTTCCGCTGGCTTCTGACTCAGAGATCCATAATCTGTACCATGCCAGAAATGTGCACCGTTGTCTTTCTACCATAGGGGTACTGCTTTTTCAGGTACCCAAAAGAGTGATTTAGCCTTCCCTCTCACTTTTCTATAGTAATTCAGAGACTGCAGTTAACAAAATACTGGGAAAGGAAAGATGGGAAAATAATAGTGACACATTGTATGTCTGGAATTCTAGTCCCCCAAATTAAGGAGATTAAGATACTGATGGAAACAGGAAGAACTCTAGCATTTGTGAGTGCTGGGAATTGAAGTTTTTACTTTTGTCCTTTGGTTCACTGAACCAGATAGTAGGGTTGGAGAATTCATTCCTTGAGATACCATGTGTGAATTTAGACACTGGGAATTGCTCTATAAGCAAGGCAACTTAACCCGACCTTTAGTTGAAGCTACAGGAAATTAACATTGTGGATAAGTTGCAAGTAATGACAGATCTTGGATGTGGCCATGAAATAAGTGGCTGAATCGGGTGGAGGATTAGATTATTAGAAGAGAGGAAATTGACCAGGCACAATGGCTCATGCCTGTAATCCCAGCACTTTGGGAGGCTGAGGCAGGCAGATCACTTCATGTAAGGAGTTCAAGACCAGCCTGGCCAACAGTGAAACCCCATCTCTACTAAAAACATAAAAATTAGCCAGATGAGGTGGCATGTGCCTGTAATCCCAGCTACTCAGGAGGCTAAGCCACAAAAATCCTTTGAACCTGGGAGGCGGAGCTTACAGTGAGCTGCGATGGTGCCACTACACTCCAGCCTGGGTGACAGAATGAGACTCAAAAAAAAAAGTAAAAGAAAAAAGGAAATAATTGAGAGGCCAAAGTGTTGGAAAGATTTTCCATAAAAGGGAACAGCCATGAAGAATAAGGAGGAAAGGTGTGGGAAGAATATTCTAGGCGTAAAGAGCAGCATAATCAGAATTATAAGTGTGAAATGTATTTGGGAAGCTCAAGAAGCTAAGTATGGCTTGAGTATAAAGTGGAAATGATGCACAAGTAGGCAGTGGTAGTATAGAGTGCCACAGAAACTCTTGGTTGCCTGCCCAACATATACCCTCACTTCTTGTTAAGGAAGGCCCTCTCAGTAGGTCTCACCTCAGTCCCAGGGGATAAGTTAGGACTAGTTTAAACTGGTCACTTTAACTCCATTTTCTTTTCCAGTCATTAGTCTGTGGGTAGCCATATGACCCAGCTCTGGCCAGTAAACTCGAAGAAAAAGTCTTTGGGGAACTCTGGAAATACTGTCTTTCCTGGTTAAGAGAGAGTGTGTGTGTGAGTTAATCTCTGGAAAGAAGTCTCTTTTTTTCCTCCCATCTGTTCCTTTCCTTCTTGCTTGGTATACTGTGGAGTTCAAAGCAATGACAGTAAACTTGTAATCATGACTAAAAGATAGTCCACTGAGAATAGCAACGAGCAAAGAAAGGGAGCAGATCCTTGGCTGGGTGCTGTGGCTCACGCCTGTAATCGCAGCACTTTGGGAGGCCAAGGCAGGTAGATCACTTGAGGCCAAGAGTTTGAGACCAGTGATGCCACCATGGTGAAAACTCATCTCTACTTAAAAACACAAAAATTAGCCTGGTGCAGTGGCATGTGCCTGTAGTTCCAACTACTAGGGAGGCTGAGGCTTGAGAATCACTTGAACCTGGGAGGTGGAGGTGGCAGTGAGCCAAGTGCAGTGGTGATCACATCACCACTGCACTCCACCCTGGGCGACAGAGCAAGACTCTGTCTCAGAAAAAAAAAAAAAGAAAGAAAGAAACGGTCTGAATCCTTGATGCAGTGTTGGCCTTTTGGCCAGACTAGAAATTACCCACTTCCAGAGTTTATGTGAAGTGAGGTCAATGTTTTTCTTGTTTTAGCCACTGTTATCAGGTATTCTGTAACTTGAAGCTGATTGCATTCTGAGAGACTGGTAAGTCATGGAGGACTTGGTAAATGCTTTTGCTGATTTTTCATTTGTGGTATACTGTCTAATGTCAACCTTAAAATCAAAACAGGGTGGGGGTGGTGGCTCACGCCTGTAATCCCAGCACTTTGGGAGGGCGAGGCCTGATCACCTGAGGTCAGGAGTTTAAGACCAGTCTGGCCAACATGGTGAAACAGTCTCTACTACAAAAATGAAAAAAGTAGCCCGGCATGGTAGTGGGTTCCTGTAGTCCCAGCTACTCAGGAGGTAGAGGCAGGAGAACCACTGGAACCTGGGAGGGAGGCGGTGGTTGCAGTGAGCCGAGATCACACCACTGCCCTCCAGCCTCCGTGACAGAGCAAGACTCCATGTCAAAAAACAAATTAACATGTACGTTTTAATTAATTGAACCACTATTCAAAGATTAATCGGTAGTAGTTTTTATTTTGGAATATTTATACTGAATTTCTCCCTATATAATCCCAAAGAAAGAATAATAATCACTATTAGTTGTGTTTAACTAAAACAAAAATTGAAAAAAATCCCCAAAATATATAAAATATATATTTTTTTATTTTAATTTTTAAAATAGAGATGGAGTCTTACTCTGTTCCCCAGGCTGGAGTTGCAGGTATACAATCATAGCTCACTGCAGCCTCAAACTCCTGGGCTCAAACCATCTGCTCACCTCAGCCTCCCAAGTAGCTAAGACCACAGGCATGCACAACCATGTCCAGCTTTTTTTTTTTTTTTTTTTTGAGACGGAGTTTCGCTCTTGTTACCCAGGCTGGAGTACAATGGCACGATCTCGGCTCACCGCAACCTCCGCCTCCTGGGTTCAGGCAATTCTCCTGCCTCAGCCTCCTGAGTAGCTGGGACTACAGGCACGCGCCACCATGCCCAGCTAATTTTTTTGTATTTTTAGTAGAGACGGGGTTTCACCATGTTGACCAGGATGGTCTCGATCTCTCGACCTCGTGATCCACCCGCCTCGGCCTCCCAAAGTGCTGGGATTACAGGCTTGGGCCACCGCGCCCGGCCCATGTCCAGCTTTTATAAAATATTTTTACATGAAATATTCTGAAAACACTTTGTAAATATAGGATTCTTCAATAAGTATGTGAAACTAAGATTATTGCTCAAGAGGAAGCCAGGCACGTGGAGGATTTTTTTTTTCTTTTTCTTTTTTTTTTTTTGAGACAGATTCTCTCTATTGCCCAGGCTGGAGTGCAGTGGTGTGATTATGGCTTATTGCAGCCTTGACTTCCCAGGCTCAATTGATTCTCCCACCTCAGCTCCAAGTAGTTGGGACGATAGGTGCACATTACCACACCCAACTAATTTTCTTTTTTTTTTTGTAGAGATGGGTTTTACCATGTTGCTCAGGTGGATCTGCAACTCCTGGGCTCAAGTGATCCACCTGTCTCAGCCTTCCAAAGTGCTGAGATTACAGGCATGACCCACCACGCCTGGGCTGAGGATTTTTCACTAAAATCCTCAAAATTAGGATGAAGCCCTATACAGGATGACATACAGTCATATGAAAGCAACATATGATAAAAATAGCCAATGTTCATTGAATATTCAATGTTCATTAATTCATTGAAC